AATCTTATTCTGTGGAAGTAGATTTTAAGCTAAGACTGGATTGATATCTATTAGGATAACATAAAAGTTCCTTGGAAGGAAACTAATATTAAAGACCGTGGTAAATGTCACAAGATACAGGAGATTTACTTCTGAGTACCTCTTAGGCTGCTTGGTTGAAATCCTGGTCCCCTAAGGTTCTGAAACGTAGATCTGAATTAACACCTAAGTAAATTATTAATGTCAAAGCAATTTGCAGCACCTAGCTGGTCTTGGTGGACACTGAAAAATTTAAGTGAACTACTGGGATAGGGGATCACTAGGGAATTCTGCTGCTGTAAGCCAGACAAGGAATTTGAAAGAAGACAGTGACAAACCATTTCCATATTATTGTTACACAATATGACACCATCAGATGTTGAGCTCAATTTAAAAAAACCTACATTTTAATTAAGTAGAATAATGGAATTGGACACAACAGGAAGAAAACACATTATTTTCCACATACCATAACCAGCTGCCATTATATTAAAAATTGGCCATAAGAAATGTTTTACTGGATTAGATAAAAACTTCAATTAATCTTTCATTTTCTCTTCAGGTATGCCAGCTCTAGATCCAAGAAAGGTAGTATATGTTAACAGAAGATGGAGAAGCAGGGCTTTTTTTGTCATAGAACGCTCAGAATGGAGTTTTTTGGGATGGAACCTTGTAGGGTAGGCAAGGCGGGTTGTATGTTGTGTGAGTTCTAGCACTTTTTTTTTTTTTTACAAAAAAAGCACAGTGGAGAAGTATGTTGAAATAAACAATGCAGTTTAGTAATAGAAAGTCATTGCTACCATTCCTTATGTGCAATAATCTAACCCCTCTATTAGATTCTGGCTATATTGCTGAGAATTAGAAGAACTGAAGCTGTATATCGGGAAAGTTCAGGAAAGCTGGTAAAAACTATTGATTATTTCATCTAGTGCTAAATAATTCCGTATGTTAGCATTCTTTGAAATGCTGTTGCTCTGGAACTATTTTTAACTATTGTTATTTCATTAATGAATGTAAATCAGGAAAAGGTTATGATTGCTTAACATAATAACAAAGTACTATAACTATATAATTATGGCTGAAAGTAGAGGGCTTTTTAAATTATTTTCATCATTGTTAGGATTAGGATAACTGGGAGGATAAGATCTCAAAATTAGAAAGTTTTGTTGCTTTTATTGTGTTGTTAAATAGAAAGGGCTATTCAGAACCATATTTCAACAAAAAGATCATCAAGTGACACAAGAAGTGTTGCTAGGACTAATTATTGTGAGACTGAGAGCAAGAAAGAATTTTAGTATCCACTGCAAACATTAAAAAGCCAATTAATTTTTGCATATACAGAAAGCTGCTAATAATCCAAATCAACGAAATTATAAAATTCTTTCACTCATGTGGTTTTAATGATAAAAATATTAAAGTACTTGTAAGTTTTGGTAACAGACAATTCTGTATCAAGGAGTAGCCTGTCAATAGTGGTTTCGGGGCGGTATAGATCAGAGGACGGCAGACTGGAGGGAAAAGGAGGGGGAAGCATTTTACTTACGCACACATAAAATGTATACACACGAGGCCATGAGCAAATGGGGCAGGGCTAGCGTTTGCATGATAATTGCTAGCCATGCCCCATTCTTGCGCGGCAGTGTTTTTGCGCCCACAACATAGCATTGTCGTCCCGTTTCCCCCGAGGCGCAGTGGCAGCCTGTTTTCACGTGCCACAGCTGCCGCACGAGTGAGGTGCATGCGCGTGCACACATGCACGCACTGGCCAGCCTGTCCCACTGCTCATTACCAGGCCACAGCCCACAGGTTGGGGACCCGATATAGATTACACTCTCCACTGCAATTAGTTTTTAGGTGTCAAGCCCCGTGGACTCGACATTCACGGAGGGGGAAGGCACCAACGCCAGCCGCAGCGCACCCCGCAGCGCAACTCCAGCGCTGCCACCAGACAGGGAGGTCTGTGGGAACCAGAGACTGGTAAAGACGCTGATAGAAAGCTATCCTTGCCGGCGTTCCTAGGGCCAAGCTGATAAGGCCCCCAAAGCCTTTTCGGGTAGGTGACCTGGTGTAACTCTCAACGAAGTATCTCCGCCTGAGGGTGCCCTGTAAGAAGCTGGGTCCAAAATACCCAGGGCCATTTCACATTACACAGGTTATCAATCCAGTAGCCATACGGCTACAGCTATCCTGGTTCCTGGGGAAGTTACACCTGGTCTTTCACTGTAGCCTATTGAAACCAGTAGAGGATTTCTCCTGCAGGCCCATGAGAGGGGTACCAGAGCCTATCACCAGAGACCAGTATGAAATCAGGAGGTCCTGGACTCCCGGATCTGACAGGGACAACTACAGTACCTGTTGCGGTGGACGGGGTACCCTATTAGAGGCGTCCTGGGTGGGGGAAGCGGATGTCCATGCCCCTCGTTTGTTGCAAAAGTTCCATTGACAGTGTCCCAGTAAGCCGGGGGGGGGGGGGTCGGCAGAAGCGTCCCCCACAGCGGGTGAATTCTTACATGTTTCTCCTTGCCTCCCAGGGAGCTGCCTGTCAAGCCCCATGGGCTCGACATTCATGGGAGAGGGAGGGAGAAGGCACTGATGCCAGTTGCAGCGCACCCCACAGCACGACTCCGGCAATGCTGCCAGACAGGGAGGCTTCACAGTCCAGGACCGGCGCCCAGGACCAGCACCACCGAACAGCTGGGCAGCCACACAGCTTGGCCCTAGGAATGCCAGCAAGGACTGCTTCCAGACAGCTGGGCAACCTCACGGCTTGGGTCCAGCAACGCTGACAAAGAATGCTGCCAAACTGCTGGGCGGCCTCACGGCTTGCAACTGGCACCGCTAATAAGCTGAGCGGCCTCGTGGTGCGGCATCAGTATGGCAGCCGGTCGGTGCTCAGGAGGGGAATGGGGATGCTACCTCTGCTGCGGAGAGGCTCTGGCGACCAGCTGCGTGGTACAGAAACTGACGCCAACCGGCAGGGAGTAGAAGGCGGCCCAGAGGGGAGAAAGGGCCTTGCAGCGCTGTCTTTAGGAACAGGCACAGGATGCTGGCCTGCTGACGGGGGGGATGGAGCTGTGGGAAGGGAATGTATGTAAAGCACTGGGAAGAGATCAATCCCAGCGCTGACTTTGCTTGTCGGAATAAACCGCTTGTCAGTCACCTTGTCATCCTTTTTGCATCTGTGGGAACCAGGGACTAGTAAGGACGCGGATATTACAGCCTGTTTCTTTTAATCTGCAGAAAGAATTATTTTTCCTGCCATTAGTTTAGCACCAAAATTAGTATTTGCATTGTCTGCACCAAATCCAAAACTTGTTTCTTAACTTATTCCTGACAAAGGACTTAAGCATTTTTCCACATATTGTATAGCAGCTTTATGTCCAGATATAAAGTAAAAATGGTTACCTTAACATTCTTATAATATTTTACTATAAGAAATACCTTCATACATAAAATACTGTGTGAAGTAACAAAATGAATAGAAAATAAATATCATACATTTTCTTTGCTATAACAATTTCCACAGTCTCAGTGCATATATAATTTTTGTTCAAAAATTAGGAATCTCTTTTTAATCAAGAGTATGTCAATTGCACCTTCCTTGGAAAAAATGGATATACAATATATTCTAGTATCACACCAGTCAATAAAAGTAAATGGAGGAAGAAGCTGTCTATTGATAGCTTTGGAATGTGCACAATTTAACAGCTAAATTTTCCATAATGAGCTAGTGCTGTTAGTGAGCTACTTTAACTTTTAAAACACATGGAGCTACTTGTTGCTTGTGTTGCTGATAAATATCAGAATGTCAATAGTTGAAAAACTAAATTAGTTTCTAAATTGTTTTGCATACATTTTCCTTGGATCAACAGCGGATTATTAGAACATGTCGTCTTTTCTTATTGTTCTGATAGAAAATACACACAAAATTTAAACCAAGAAAAAGCATTTGGGGGGGGGGTTGAAGCATCACAAGAGCTTACAGAAAAAAGACTCATGAAGTTAAAATGAAAACACTGTACAGGTAGTCTTCGACTTAGTTTGATCGTTTGAAGTTACAACGGCACTGAAAAAAGTGACATGATCATTTTTCACACTTATGACCACCGCAGCATCCCCATAGTCATGTGATCAAAATTCAGATGCATGACAACTGACTCATATTTATGACAGTTGCAATGTCCTGGGGGGTCATGGGATTACCTTTTGCGAACTTGTGACAAGCAAAGTCAATGGGGAACCAAATTCACTTAACAGTGTTACTAACTTAACAACTGCAGTGATTCACTTAACAACTGTATCAAGAAAGGTCGTAAAATGGAGCAAAGCTCACTTAACGATTGTCTTGCTTAGCAACAGATATTTTCGGCTCACTTGGGGTGATAGATTGAGGACTATCTGTATCTGGTGTGCAAAAATAAAGAATTCCCAGCTACTAAGGGAAGCAGTGAAATCTCGTAAAACCTTAAATGGGAGCATGACATAATGTAACATCTGTATATTCCTTTTTGAGAGCTTAAGGGAAACTGGACTGTATGTACACATTCTGATAGATTCTTAAGAAGTTAATGTCATACCAGATAAAAAATAAACAGATAAGAAAGGTAAGATCCAAGCCATCTGGACTGAGTCCAGCAAGATGGGGCTATGCAATATGGCAAAATACCAGTCTTAGTGTTTGAAAATATTTCCCAAAGGTCATGAGAAATAATGCTGATTATATCATTCATATCTACAAACTATCCTGTCATAGGTAGTATATGAGTAGATGGGTATGCCACTGGAAAAGTAAAAGTATACATCTTTGGATTGGAGCCAGAAAAAAAGATTTTCTTCCTTATTCACAAGAAAGAGTCATAGAATGCTCTTTTATGCAAATTCTCTTTTGTGTATTTCTTGTGACTGAACGAAACTGCTCCAGAGGGTTGGCGGAAAATTTGTGAGATATGATTAACAGGGGCCATAATAATTACTAAATATTCTTTGCTTATTATGCAATAGAGCTTCACAGGTCCTTTATTATATACCAATATTGAAGAATTATTTTGGGTTACAAACAGAAAATATGGTGCTAAATCCATGCTTCTTAATCTAGTGCAAGTAATTTTGATACTGCAAGTGTAATAAGACTGATAATATAAAACTTAATTTTGATTCTACAATTTAGGTTTTCTTTAATAGAGTACACGGCGATACCTGCATCACTAATTTCTCCTCTCCCCCCTCATCAGAAAGCAAGAAAAATTTCCACTTTTAACAATCATTTAGAATGAATTTTAGGATCTCTCATTCCTATTTATTTTAAGAAACAATGTTTCAGTTTTTTATTTCATTCTTACAACAGCATATAAAAATTCAGAGTACTAAATATTTGTGCAAAAATACATACAAGAGCTTGTTCAATGTATTTCTTCCATAACAGGCTCAAGTAGTATTCCATTTTACCAAAGTCAGCACAATTTTATTTGTCTGATTGCATTATGAAACAATGAGATACTCTGTCATAAATTTATTTCCTCTCTTCATAAGCATTTCACGTAAGTCATAAATTTACTCATCCTCAGAGAAACGGATATGCTTGCTTATCTCTTGAGTCTTTGCCAGTCTCATTTTTTCCGCTTTTGCTATCAGCTATAAAAGAAAAAAATGCATATTGTATTACCATTTTCAGAAAATATGAAAGTTATCAATAAAACTATCATTTGTGACAAAAACCCTTTAAAAATTATATTTTATTTTGGACAAGAACAGCCCTATTACCTGTAGAAAATTTTAATTTCCTTGACTTTAATGAGTTATAAGCTCACTTTTGGCAATTTTATGCATTTGACTGCATTGCTCTTCAGATGTACCACCAACTTAACAAAATCCTTTAAAAGGTTGAGCTACTTAATCATTAATTTTATCCTCAAATATTTTTTAAAAGATTTGCAGAAAATTAGTGGGCAATATGGATTTACTAAATGAGAAAGCCTTATGAGCAATATGATGGAATGGGGATTCAAACCTGATTTATTTAGTCCCAATTAGTTCACCACAGTTTAGAATACTTTATTTGCTCACTAAATTCACAAGGAATTTGTCTCCACTGCAGAGGCTCTTAGCAATTTCCATAAGGACTGAGGAGTTCTGGATGGTGCAGTCTCAAATATTTTTTTCTTAACAGAACAGTCTATACTTTGGAATTTAATCAATGATGGGATTGTGATTTGGATACTATACTATGAAAAGTAGTTTTAATTTCTCTTTTTACATATCCCCCAAATCTACATTTGGCAATTGGGCAAGCATTAAAAAAACTGGAACTGAAGAGTGCTAATAATCTCCAATAAAATGCTAGTTTATTGATAAGTCTTGGTTTCCACAAGCAGTTTCGTCTATTCCCAATAGAGTGAAAAGGAAAAGGCAATTCAGCTACCAGCAGCAATATAACAATTTTATTTAATATAAGGGTATTAAGAACCTTAATGGATTTTGTTACTTTAATAATAATAGGTTAGAAGACAGGAAATTGAGGTCATGCATGTTAAAAATTGAATAAAACTTCTGATATTCAATAGAAACTTTATAAAGCAAAGAAAATTATACAGATAGTTATATAATTATACATATATATTTATAGAAATATTTATCTGTATTTATATAAAATTATAGATATTTTTCTGTATATATTCAAAAAATTATACAGATAAATATATACAGATGAATTATAAACCTTTCCAAAGTACTCCTCTGAAACATCAGAGTCAAATAATATTATTAATATTAAACAGTTTATTTAAAATGAATATTTTGAGATTATTTTTTATCACTGAAAGAGGGCACTGGCAATTAATAATAATAATACTAATAAAGTTGGAAGGGACCTTGGAGCTCATATAGTCCAACCGCCTGTTCAGGCAGGAAACCCTATACCATTTTACACAAATGGCTGTACAGTCTCTTTTTAAAAACTTCCAGTGTTGGAGCATTCACCACTTCTGGAGGCAGGTTGTTCCACTGGTTAATTGTTCTAACTGTCAAGAAGTTTCTCCTTAGTTCTAGGTTGCTTCTCTTCTTGATTAGTTTCCATCCATTGCTTCTTGTCCTGCCTTCAAGCGCCTTGGAAAATAGCTTGACTCCCTCTTCTTTGTGGCAGCCCCTAAGATATTGGAACATTGCTATCATGTCCCCCCTCGTCCTTCTCTTCATTAAACTACACATACCTAATTCCAGCAACCGTTCCTTATATGCTTTAGCCTCCAGTCCCCTAACCATCTTTGTTGCTCTTCTCTGTACTCTTTCTAGAGTCTCAACATCTTTTTTACATCGTGGTGACCAAAACTGGATGCAGTATTCCAAATGTGACCTTACCAAGGCATTGTAAAGTGGTATTAATACTTCACGTGATCTTGATTCTATCCCTCTGTTAATGCAGCCTGGCACTGTGTTGGCTTTTTTGGCAGCTGCAGCACACTGCTGGCTCATATTTAGGTGATTGTCTACTAGGACTCCGAGGTCCCTCTCACAGTTACTACTATTGAGCAAAGTACCCCCTATACTATACCTGTACATTTGGTTTTTCTTGCCTAAATGTAGAACCTTACTTTTTTCACCATTGAATTTCATTTTGTTAGATAGCGCCCAGTGTTCAAGTCTGTCCAGATCCTCCTGTATCTTAAGCCTGTCTTCTGGAATGTTGGCTATCCCTGCCAGCTTGGTGTCATCTGCAAATTTGATGATTTCCCCATCTATCCCCTCATCCAAATCGTTGATGAAGATGTTGAAGAGCACTGGGCCCAGAACAGAGCCCTGGGGCACCCCACTACACACTTCTAATTTATTAGAAATGCTTAATTTTAGCCAAAATTGTTTACACCATTTTCCAGAAATTCAGAATTATTCCCTTTAAATTAGTTATGTAATTTCATGGAAAACAATGCTGAATATATTTGAATAATGGCAACTTATTTCCAATGGACATAACTGAATTTCACTGAATAGCAAAAGAAGATAAAAACATTTCTTTCATTTCATATCGAGGTAGAAAATAGAAACAAAAGTCTAATTTTCCTGAGTAGATTCCATACTGAAGTCATTGTAAATCCACCTACCTACTGCATTTAAGAATGCAATTTTAGTCAATTAAAGTGGTCCATGGTTATGCAAAATTTACAAGATTACAAGAATTAACAGCACAAAACACAGTATCAAAAAGACCCCGATATCTAAATGATAGTAGTTGCATATATTCAAAATGTAATTTGAATAGCAAGTAGGATGCAGGATTCTTCGTATCTTTGAGTTTCATGATTATACATATCTTTGAAAATATCTTTTAAATGTACTAATTCTAGCGTAGTACTTAAAGCATTTTTAACAGAAAATTAACAGTTAGGCTTTACTTTTAGACCCAAATCATCCATAAGTTTTATACACAATCTATAATATTTTAAAAAATAATGCTTAATTCTGACGAACATTAGAATTCTCTATAATTCTATTGCTAAGGGATGCAGCCACAAAACATGACACCAGGTGCCCACAACGCTTCACGATGGCAATCCCTGCAGTCCCCATTGCTATCGTTAAGTCACGTTGGGGTCATTGACTAAGGACCTATTTGTAACTTTCTAAGGACCTGTTTGTAACTTTCTGCCAGATTCCAACAACTAAAGACAGTGGGGAAGACAGCTTGCAAGCAGGCTATCCAGCAAGTAAGTAGCTGCTACCACATAGGAGACGTGCTATATTTTGTTGGTTGGCCAACAAAATATAGCACGAGTGCAGTGACAGTTGGGAAGGAGGAAAGTCAGGTAGGCACAATGTGAACATGAGGTTCAGAGACAGTGTACAAGAATGGCTAGATATGTGTGGCTACCACACAGTGAGGGTGCAGGGGGGTTATGCAAATGGTTGTTGAGATGCAGGGATGCACAGTGTATGTAGTGTGGGTGGCTTTTGGATGGAGGGTAGCGGTGCAATTTGTGATCTTCCCTGCCAGTTTATACATTGACTTTGCTTCTGGAAACCAGCAGGGAGGTTGCAAATGATGACCATGTAACTGTGGAACACTGTAACTGTTGTAATTGCAAGCTGGTTACCGGGTACCCAGATTGCTGTCATATGATTGTAAGGGTGCTAGGATGCCACAACCTGGAGGACTGGTTGTACAAAGTAGTTGTTAACCAAGGAATACCTATATTAATATTAGACTAGTTAACACTGCTTTTTAGCCAAAATTCTTTTACCTTGATATAATCAATTTAGTTTGGATATTTGAATACCAATTCCCTTGTCCTGCTTAGTGACCTCAATAAAGTTTTTGTGTTTCAGTTATTGGACTGGTGTTAGTATCATTTTTCTTATATTCCTCAACAAAAAGTCGAGATATATTAAAGACTAACAAATGTATTACTACAATACTACATTTTACAGCAGAATGTGATGATGGAAAATCTGTGCTGTAACAAATTTGTTCGCCTTTGAGATGGCACATAATTTTACTACAGAACCACTGAACTATCTTAAAAAAATTTAAGCTGCTTTATATTGATCAGTAGTTCCAATAGTGATGGATGGATCATTTATGTCTAGCTCACAAGGGTTTATTCTGACTGCCATTAGGTCTCAAAAGACTCAGTGCAACTGAATTTGTGCATCTCCCATTGAAATAATGAAACCTGGGATTTTATTAACATCTGTATATGAATTAGAGGTTCCAGATTATTTATCTTACTTTTTCTGTGCCCCGCTTCTTTTCTCTAGGTTGATTTAGTTTAGCTTGTCGGTCCACCAAGATCTTCTGCCAGTATCTTTGTTCATGATCACCTTAATACAAAAGTATTGATCTAAAGTACACAATTTTACTTAAAGTGCCATGTCAATACTTTATTATTCTTAAATTAGAAAGATGTTCTTATCACATCTATAACAATACAGAAATCCACACACATGAATAACAGGACTAAACTATAGTGGGAAACATAAGCAGAAAGCATGTTAATCCAAAAGCACGTAAAGTCCTATGCATAAGCGGTACTCCTGATAAACCCATTTTTAAATTTCTATCTTAAGCACATATAGTAAAAATCATTAGACATGAGACTTCGGAAGTAAAACTGTGACGCACAACCATTTTCCCTATTTATTCCTACTTGGGTGAAAATGACTGACATCTATAGTTTAATTCTTAAAAAGAAAACATTTTATGCAAGAAAAGACTGCAATTCTTTTCAAGTTATACAACATGAATCTTCTTTCTTTTTATTTGTTTTGTGCTGACTCTGTATTGCATGAATAAATACAAATATTTTATTTTTATGAGAACTCTTAGTATAAATACTATCTTAAAATCCTACCAAAAAGAGTGGAGGAGGAAGCGAAGATCAAATATAAGAACTCAAAACCTGTTCCTGATTTTACACTCGTGGAAATATGACTAAGAGGAGATAAAATACAATACATACTATATATAAATTTGAAAAGTCACAATTATAAAAGATAAATGAAATCTCTAATTTAGTTCCTTTCATCAAAATCATTTATTGAACAATTCCACTTTTACACATTTGTTATCCATATACATGGATATTAGCATTTTGAAACCAAGAGCTAAAAATTAAAGGAAAACAGGGGAAAGAATTTTTACTTGTTATGTAATAATTTGAAGGGTCAGAGAAAAAATTATAATGAGGGAATAAGGAACACAGCATTCTTAATCAACTCATTTGTTTATATACTATTGGACTGCTCTCCATCATCCTAATTTAAAAGGGTGCATAGTTAGTCCTCGAGCCATGACCACAACTGAGCCCAAAATTTCTATTGCTAAGTGAGACATTTGTTAAGTGAATTTTGCCCCATTTTATGATCTTTTTTGACTCAGTTGTTAAGTGAATCACTGCGGTTAAGTTAGTAACCCAGTTGTTAAGTGAATCTGGCTTCCCCATTAACTTTGCTTGTCAGAAGGTCACATAAGGTGATTACATGACCTTGACAATGGTCATAAATATGACTCAGTTGCCAAGCATCTGAATTTTGATCATGTGAACCGTGGGGATGCTGGAAAGGTCGTAACTATGAAAAATGGTCATATGTCACTTTTTTCAATGGTGTTGTAACTTTGAACGGTCACTAAACGAACTGTTATAAGTCGAGGACTACCTGTATTTAGCAACTGGCATTCTAGACAAATTGTAATCCCTATTAACAGTGATTCTCTTTTTAACAAAGAGAAATACATGGTTTAAGTTCCAGACCCAAACATAGAAGTGATACCAGTTAGAAAAAAAATTATGGGGAAAAAATACCAGAATACAGTCATAATACTGAACAAGTGTTAAAATATTCCCAAAATTGATATAACATGTGCACACCACATAAATGTAAAATGTATAAACCTCACCTGTAAGAATCTCAAGTTTCCAGTTGTTCTTTGTCTGCAGTTCTTTATGTGAGTTTATTAAAATTTGTGCCTCTCCAGGTGTTTTAAGCCGTACATGACATTCTGTATCTCCTTCCAGCAGATCAACATAAGCAACATCAGCTAGTGTTGTCAGCATGTCCTATGATGAAATGGATGCACCATAGAAAATACATTATATTACAATCTCTTCTTAACTTATGTACTTTTTAAGAAGAGAGAGGCAGGAAAATAAAAATATTTTTAATCCCACAGTGGAGACAAAAAACGTAGAAAGAGAAAAATAAGCAAATGCTGCAAATTTAGAAAAATATAATTAAATGCAATATGATAATGCTCAAGAAAAGAGTAAGAATTCTGTTTATGTCTTTATCTTTGTGAAATATATCTTTACCTCCTTCACTCTCCATCTCTACCTCTGTCTTACATACAGTGTTGTAGCTCTCTAAAATCCAATTGATTAGGACACAGATTTTCAAGTTATGCAGTTCTAATCAATGTCCAGCTTGAAAGACCAGGGGTACATGTTAACTTCTAGTTAAACTGATTTGTTGGTCACGCCTATGCACAGGAATCTAGTCAACTAATGGTTAGCGCTATTTTGGTGCTGGATAAGGGCTAATCGAATTCAAGAAGGGTTGGACTTAGTCCACTTGTGGAAATATGGAGTTTCTAGGCTGATTCCTCTTTTGACTCCACCACCCCCAGACTCTGCCACTACTTCTCCTACAGCCAGTAAACTTTTGATTTTTATGCTTTTCGCCAATTCAACTTGCTACTGTAACATCACAATAAAACAATTCAATAAATAATTTGATTACAAAATGTGAAGCAAGTCTAAGTGCTATTGATATTACTATTTAAATCATGTGCATCACTACAGTAGCTTACAATCAGACTTTATTCAAAGTGATAATCACAGTCCTCTCTCCAGGAGAAAGGCAGGTCAGAAATATAATAAATAAATAAATAAATAAATAAAATAGATAGATATTCCAAGAAAATGATAATTGCTTCTCTAAGAGCACCAAAGCATCACCTTGATGTGCTTCCTGCCTGGCAGTGGATCAGTGCTAAGGATTTTCACAATCACTCCACTCTCAAACTGAGGTCCCATTGGATGAATCTTTTCAACAGGAGCTAAATCATTATTGCCGATACCTGTTAATTTGAAAAAGAACATCAATGGAAATTCTTAATTTGGTCTTGCAATAAATAAACTTATGATTTCATATATGAAATGGAATAGTATTGCTAGACTTAATTATGTTTCTTGTTACAGTTTGGCATACACAGATCACCTAATACTTAATACTTAAAAGAATTCTAAATTTTATTATACTAAATACATACTTTAATCAAATATTTTGAATTCGATAACATGTATGTAATCATAATCTTATTTTTAAGAGACTCCACATGCATTATTACCAAAAAAATATCTTGACAAAAAAGTTTACTAACATTATTAATTTAGCAAATTTTAATTTTTTAAATTTAATTGATTCTGGAAAGATATATCTGTGAGAGACCTTCAGCCTTCTCTGAATGATAAATAACTACAGATAAATTTGATTCTTCTCAATTAAATGAGAATCAAGTTAAAAAAGTATCTGTATAATCAATATATAAAGAGACCACTAAGAATACAACACAAATTTCAGATTTTAATTACTTGAAAGTGGACTGGAAAGTGGAAAGTCTGATAAAGTGTCATTTTCCCCTTCTAGAACTGCAAACTATATCAACTACATCCAAAAGAAAAAATAGTTATACCAGGGGCAGGCAACCTTGGCTTTTTTATGACTTGTGGATTTCAACTCCCAGAATTCCTGAGCCAGCATGGCTGACTCAAGAATTCTGGGAATTGAAGTCCACGAGTTATAAAAGAGCCAAGTTGCCTACCCCTGAGTTATACATTGTGAAGTATGGTACAAATAAAATACGAACACCAGGAGAGTATAAATATAAAAATAAACTTTACTAAAAGCTGCCAAGCTTTCGTTTGGAAACTCCAAACATCATCACGGCTAAGGAGCCAGTAAACAATGATGACTTAAATGGGTTTTGCCGGCATCTGCACCTGGCTCATGGACCGCATCACCGGTCCCGGCCGGTTAATTAGTGTTCCAGATGTTTCTTTATTACTCTCCTTACGCTTCCTTCTATGGTTCTTCCGGATCATTCCTTCCACTATCTCATTACTGGTATTCATCTCCTCCACCACCCCTTTATCCTTATTTCCTTCCATAGCACTGACCCTCCTCCCCTTTTTGTTTTCATTCTCCACCCTGGGGGCATCTGTTTCTCCTCTATCAGTGTTACAAGCTTCCCTGGGCTCACAGACGCTCCCCCACACACACGTTTTTCTCAATCCCTGCTCCACACCCTTTCTTCTCACTCTTCCACTGTCATGAGTAACTTTCATACGGGTGTTACATATTTGGGGGTCTATACCCCCCTCCTCCGTCCTGGCAATCTTCGTGTCAACAGTTCTCCACCGTTCCATTTGTTTGCTGCGTGATCGGGTGCTTACCCCGTCTCTCAATTCATCCCCCCTCCCTATCGCACGCTCTTCCCCATTGCTGATAGGAACGGTATTCAGGCGGACACCAGGTCTCCAGATCTCTGCATTCTGATTCCCCGCGTTCTCACTCCCCTCTTCTGTGCTCGTCTTTGGGGGGACTTCAAAGTGTTCGTCCCGGGAGGGGGCTGTATTGTTGGTGGGGGTATTCCTTGTCTGCAGGGAATCCAGGCAGAATTCCGTGTCTCTCCCTTTCACCGTATGCCTAGGCAATCGAGCCATGCTTTCGTTCTTCTTCTCCCCCCTACCCACAGCATCAGGCTGCAGGCTCCTCATGCTGGATCTTCCACACTCTCCACAGTTGTTGTTAAGTTCTGGGGGTGGGGGTCTATCATGATGATATTGGGGAAGGGGGAGGTCTTCCATCGGTGGATGATTACGTGTGTTTGACAGTGGTAGCCTCCTCAGACGTTCATTAGAGTGGTATTGGTGTTGATCGGGCGAGACGGGGGTGTCCCTGGAGTGTAGAGGGTTAGACAAAGTTCCATCTATCTGTTCAGGATGAATTGAGAGACGGGGTAAGCACCCGATCACGCAGCAAACAAATGGAACGGTGGAGAACTGTCGACACGAAGATTGCCAGGACGGAGGAGGGGGGTATAGACCCCCAAATATGTAACACCCGTATGAAAGTTACTCATGACAGTGGAAGAGTGAGAAGAAAGGGTGTGGAGCAGGGATTGAGAAAAACGTGTGTGTGGGGGAGCGTCTGTGAGCCCAGGGAAGCTTGTAACACTGATAGAGGAGAAACAGATGCCCCCAGGGTGGAGAATGAAAACAAAAAGGGGAGGAGGGTCAGTGCTATGGAAGGAAATAAGGATAAAGGGGTGGTGGAGGAGATGAATACCAGTAATGAGATAGTGGAAGGAATGATCCGGAAGAACCATAGAAGGAAGCGTAAGGAGAGTAATAAAGAAACATCTGGAACACTAATTAACTGGCCGGGACCGGTGACGCGGTCCATGAGCCGGGTGCAGATGCCGGCAAAACCCATTTAAGTCATCATTGTTTACTGGCTCCTTAGCCGTGATGATGTTTGGAGTTTCCAAACGAAAGCTTGGCAGCTTTTAGTAAAGTTTATTTTTATATTTATACTCTCCTGGTGTTCGTATTTTATTTGTACCATAGACATGCCCAGGAGTCGTATTTTTATGCAAATTTTCCAGCATTGTGAAGTATATATATATATATATATATATATATATATATATATATATATATATATAGAGAGAGAGAGAGAGAGAGAGAGAGAGAGAGAGAGAGAGAGAGAGAGAAATGGAGGATTTATGAGCATATGCTCAATCTAAGAATTTTTTTTTCATTATCATAACAGAGCTCCAAGTTCTTTCATCTACAACCCATTGTAATAAAAGGAGACAATCAAACCAACTTAACCAATAGGGGAATCTTTTAAGGGTTCAACAAGCAAAAGACATGTTGTAAATAATAAACTGTCCACACTACTTAAAGGAAAATACAGACAAAACTAAATACTTTCTAGATGTCTTCTATAGTGCTTAAAATAGTCACTTTCTAATGATTTCTAATTTCTAATGATTTCTACTGAGGCATAGATAACACCTTGCTAATTGATTTCAAAGCATATACAGTATAAGATTGCAGACAAATATTGCCAACTGTAGTTTAGCAATATTTGTGTGAACAGAAACTCATGTAAAACATCAGTATCTCCCTCTACTGTCTTCCCGAACATTTACAAATGCATTAGAATGTTGGTTTATGTTATCTTTCTAGCCTGTTCACCAGGAATTTTGATTTAAAAAAATACAAAAACCATGTGATAACTAAAGCAAGATTTATAGTTGGTGAAGCAAATCAGAGAAATGTATTTATAAAGACAATTAGTATTTCCTGAAAATCCTGGCAGTACAGAAAGCGAAACTCACCAAATAATTTATCCTTTGGGGAAGGGGAGAATGGACAATTCCAAGCCATAAAGTAGTCAACAGTGATTGACACCCAGCAGTTGTGGTATATTATAATGGATTCCACTCCTCACTAGTAGAACCACTGGAAACCCCTCTCTGCAATTACCTGAAATCTTTCCTGTTCTATCAGGAATAAATATTTTTCTGTTTTATTTATTTAATTCATATGCTTATAAGGCTTATAGCACAAAAATCCAAATATAAAAAAAGATTAAAATATTATAAATATCAAAACCTTAAAATTAACAAAAAATGAGTAAACTAGGAACCAGTATATGAGCAGAATGGAAGTGGGATTCCTCTCCCCTTCCTTCAGCATGAAATTCCTCCATAGGGACCTCAAGCCAACCAGCAGAGCCAGGTTTTGAGTCCCTTTTGGATGGCCAAGAGGGTGGGAGCGGTTCTCACCTCCAGCGAAGGTAGAGATTGCACTGGTTGATTTTCTATGCAATGTGAACATCATTTGTCAGAAGGTCCTAAGATGAATAAGTACTCCATATCCAAAATCTATCTTCGCTCGATGGAAGTCGGTGTTATTTTATTAAAATAAAACAATTTTGTAATATAATTTTAAGATTAAATTCATATGTTTCTCATCCTCTTAAACCATAAGCTCTTGTCCTTAAAAAGAAACACAAGAAATTCATAATTATATTTACATTTGCCATTTCTTGTTGCAGAATCATCTGCCATACAGACATCTCTTTTCATTGTTCCAACAGTCACTGTGTTTGCTTTGGTCATTGCTTTTTTCAGAGATGACATACTGGCTTTCTGCAGGGACAAATACTCTTGCTTGAGCTGCATCCATTCATTCCTACAGAATGGAGATTGAAAAATGGTAACACAAAGGTTGGAAATGATTGGAAACAAAACGATAAATGTAAAAAGAATGGAATTTTCTTTGTATACAGGGATGAAAGGTTCCTATTTTTTAATATGACATAACTTGTTGTATGATGATTTAAAAGAGAGCCTAAAACAATGATTCATACAAAAGGGGTAGATATATATACAACTTTTTGAAGTTCAATAGAACATTTCGTTTATTTGAAGAAACCTGAATTTACTGAAAGCTTACATAGTTGAGAAACCTGGTCTATTTATCAGAATTCTGTGTCACCTATTACATAATTCTTTTCAATTTGTTTCTAAAATACTAAAAAAATACATAATTCAGTTTCTAGAGAGTCGCCTAATATCCATTAGTTGCTAGGAGTCTTTCTAGGAATGCTAGGCTAGATAGATTTTGGATTGACTTTGAAAACACAAGCAACTGTACATATTTTATGCCTCTACACAAAGATTAGTTATGCATTAACTGTTTAAGAAAACTTAAATACTGTATAAAAATTTGCTTGGATGTTCACTCATTCTAGACATCAGGAGATCAAAGCTTGAATACAGGTAGTCCTCATTCAATGACTGTTAAAAATTGCTATAGTGCTAAACAAGTAGCACAGGTCCTTGAAGCTCTGGCCATCTCAGCATCCCCATAGTCACCTGATCACGATCTGGGCACTTGGCAACTGGCTCATACTTATGAGGGCTGCCGTGTCCCACAGTCACATAATTGCAATTTGTAACCTTCTCTGCTGGCTTCCCATGACCAAAATAATACCAGGTTGCAAATCACTCTGGTAAGTCACTTGCACCTTCCCCCACTTGCACCATGTTTCATCTAGTTTACTCATTCCCATCTCCAGCCCTCTGTGCTTTACCTGCCTACCAGCCTGTTTGTGAAACACCTGGGACATGCTTAGCAATCCACAATCCTCCTTAACAATGGCAAGGGGAAGTGTTAGGATTGCTGTCACTAAGTGATCCCAATTACCATCCCTAACCTGTAGTCCATTTTTTATTTACTATTATTGATTAAAGAACAAATAAGTGATTTCTGAATTGCAGGTATTTTCTACATTGAAAAAAATACCATTCAAGGAGGGGTTCCTGAACTATATTTTATTTAATATAATCAATTTTCTTTTCTTATAACACAACGAACTATATTGCACATGACACAATTTGCAGTAGAGGAAAGAGAAATTTATATTTACATTATCAAGTTCTCCTTAGCTACCAAAATACTTTCTTAATATACATTTAAAAATAAAATGAGCATTTATAGTAGTTAAAAAGAAAAATGTTCAATAAAAATAGATTACTGACAAGTATATGAGAAATTTTATGGGAGAAAAACTACAAGAAGTTAAACAGATTAAATGTTTATGGTTGCTTGGCTATCTACGACACTAACATTTTACAAATCATTAATTCAATCAGGAAAAAAAATAACATTAATTAATTAACAAGTCTTTAACACTTGTTATCCCACCTTCCTGTCAACAATGTAGGGAAACATACCATCATTTCATCAGAAGCAATAATAATACAAGCTACTGTTCTGTAATATAGCAAACAAATCAAATATATTTTAACATACTTTGAGAGAACTCTCAGTGGAATAACTTCTTCTCCCATCTTATGTCTCTCTTTATGTTTCTTCTTGTGTTTTCTTTTAGATTTTGAAAGAGAGGTTTCTTTCTTATCACCAATCTCTCTCTCTTCTTCAGTAGAAATTTCTAAATAAAAATGGATTAAAGTTACTATAAATAGCTTGCAAGAAGTTCAGGTCAGTTTGTTTCTCTCATATGCAATATAATTCTATATTGTAGTGTATTCATGATTAGGAAATCAATAGGAAAAATAAGTAATATAAAACTACCTTTGGAATCCTCTAGCCCTGCTGATAGCTCCTTTGCAGAGTGAACATTATCTTTCTGAGAAATTTTCTTCACTTTTACAATTGACATCTCTCCATCATCAGAGCGATTCCGTTTCCTCTTTCCTGATCTAGTTTCTCCTAGGCCTGAGCTTTGTGTTTTATCAAGCTTCTTCTTTTCTTTCTTTGAAGAGTGTCGTTGGATTTCTGACAATTCTGTTTCAGAACTCTCTGATATCGTCCTATGACTTTTGGTGCATTCTGTAAAACTGGCCATGCATACATCTTTTGCTCCAGTATTTGACTGCTGGCTGTTTTCCTTCTTTGTTTTAGATTTTTTCTTTTTCTTCTTCTTTTTTTCTTCTACGCAAAATAAGAACATTTATCTCAATAGTCTGAATAAATTACCTTTTTGCCCTCTTTGCTTCTAAGGAGTCCACAGAGATATTTATGGTTATTTATTTATTAAATTTATTTGCCACCCATCAGAAACTCAACAGTATAATAAACATTAAAATCATCAAATATAAAATAACAGAACAGACAAAATAAAATCATTAATACAAGATGGAAAAAGAGGGAGCTGGTTATACGGGAGGGGGGAATTAGCTTTTAATTAGTCAACCACCTCCAGGTGTGAAACTCCCCCATTGAGACCCCGAACCATCTGGCAGAACCAGATTTTAAGGTTCTTACAAAAAGATAGGAAGGTGGGAGCCAATATCACCTCAGGAGGCTAAGATATTCCAAAGGTCATCTTTTCCTCCCATGATTTTTCACAGCTCCCTTACTTGATGAAGATTAAGGAGTATAACAAAATCCACAGACAAAACTAAACGTATCAAGTTAATACTCACCAGTTACGGCAGAATCACTTGTAGGTAATGTGGGAACAACTTTGTTTTTTACTGTTTTGGGAAACATACCAGGTTTTCTTGGAGCGTCTTCTGGTGGATTATTCAAGAACTAAAAATGCAAAACTCAGTTATTATCTATTTAAACACATAATCTATGATGCAATATACATAGTCCTCGCTTAACTATCATTTGTTCAGCAACCATTTCAGATTATGATGGCACTGAAGGGAGCTACAACCTATGCCTGAAGTTATGAAAGTTGCAGTGCCACCATAGTCACAATCAAAATTCAGGCATTCGGCAATGTGCCATCCCTTGCAACCACAGGGGTATTGGAACTCCCCCCTGTACCTAAGCTATTCGGCACAGCAGCACTCAACCACAGCACCAGACCTGGCCGTGAAATAGAAGCTCAAGAGTGTCAGCAGAGTCAGCCAGCTGTGACCACTCCAGGCCATGACATCAGTCCTAGCAACCCCACTACCCCTCAAAAATACCAGTTTCACCTTTTCATAAGGCTCACCAGCCTTGGAGAATGGCAAGACTGCCCCCCCCCCCCGTCACCCATCACTTCCAAGGATCTGCCACATGTCACTTACCTTCAGACATTTTTCTCCTACTGTTGAGAGGTCTGCAGAGCCTATCTTACACAGTTCCCAGTTGTACCAGGCCTTTTTTTCCTGAAGCCACCTTGAAACCAGTTCTGGTGGGGGTCAGAAGCTTTCTGAAGCATTAGATAAGACATGCAGGCCTCTCAACAGCAAGGATTGCTGAAGGATTGACAAACAAGTTCTATAGTGCCAGTGCCAGGAACAGGAAACTGTTTAACATTCATAAGGTATTTTTTAGAGTTCTAAATGTTTAATTGATACTATTAAGACATTTTCAGTAGAGAACGGTATAGTCCCTCAGATAACAAATTCTGTATTTTCAAGGTCAACTGCAGTGTGAGTCAGTGACTGAAAAATTCACACTGAAAGACTGAAAAGATTGACATTGCAGCTACAAAAATTTTAACCAATGAAAGACTGATCACTGAAGGACTCACACTACACTACAAAAGGTTTTATAAAAACAGTAGTTTTATAAAAGCTAGAATTGTATAAACAAATTAAGAACAAAACAATATTTTCAATTGTTTATAAGTCACCTCTATAGCTTTTTCAGCTTGTTCTTTTGTTTCAAATTCCACAAATGCAAATCCTTTAGGGTCTTTGGAGGTCTTATAGCGAGGAATGCTGACATAAACTACGTTGCCACATTTTCCAAATACTCGTTCAATCCAACTGTGATTGACATTTTTAGGAAGCAATTCCTACATCAAAAGAGTTACAACAGAAATAAAACTACATTTTTATATACATATGCACACAAAAAACACCAACTTTGTTTGCACATTTATGCACGAATCATTATACTAATATTTTATAATTAAAACTAGCAATTAAGTGATGTGGAAACCCAGAAGTATCACAAATAAATATGATATCTATTGTTTATAACCAATTTTGGCAGAAAAATACATCCACACACGTATAGGAATGCTCAGTAGTAGGGTGGCAACAATGCCTTATGATTCTGTATTTGACAATATAAGTAATCTTTTGCCCTATGTACAAAAAATCCCAAGTAAAAAGTTGGGAATTATCTTTATTAATATAACCATATGCCATAAAATATGCATGCTAAATGTTTCTACCAAAACTATAATATTTCTTGATGCAGAAGAAATTGTCCTACTTCCCACACTGTCCCATAATAGTATATCCATAAACTATTAGAGTGCCTGAATATATATAAATCTATAATTGGCTTAGCTAGATGGTTGCAACTGAAAGTCTTCTAGATTGAGTTGCAGTTTCTCATTCAGGTATAAAACTGTAAATAGAAAAGTGAGACTTTGCAATCTTTCATGAGAAGCTGGAATTGATTAATTCCCCCCCCAAAAAACCCTTTGTTTCCTTGCACAGAGCAGTGGCAGATTGTGAAGAAGAAACAGTACAGGGCTGGAAGTCAGGTAAGGAAAGAAAGGCAATTTCTGGGGGAAGCGAGGATTTCTTTCCTTACCTGCCCCACTTGTTCCAAGGCCACTTTCCGCTCAGACGCATGTCCTTCTCCATGAATCCTGTTCTCTCAGATAAACTCTTATCTAACTGCCACTTATCTACAGAAAAATATAGTTTCCACAGCAGTCAGAAACTGAGGATTTTGCTTAAAAGGAGACAGAAGGAGCTGGCAAACCAAGGCTCTCCTGGCTTATACTGGACAATGTTTATTGTTGCGTTAAAGAGATCCAAAAATATTGTGCCAACTGGCTGAAGTTCTAAACAAGGGCACTTGGCTAGCTAAAGGTGTTTTAAAATTCTACTTATACAAAAACTATTGCAATATTTAATTGGCTGTTTCTAAGAAAATATTAAAAGTAAAAAAGTGAAAGAAAATAGGTACTATCTTACCACATATACAGTACGATTATCCACATCTTTTGGCTGATCACCCAAAGGTTGCCGCCTTCTGATCCTGGTTCCTTCTAAATCCAACTATAAGGTATAAAATTAAATTAAAAATCTATTCCAAATATTTCCTCCTTTTGGCCTTACAGAATAAAAAACAGTTTTCATACTCACTTCTACAACAGATGAACTTTTAACTGCTCGTGCTATCAATTTTCTGTCAGTGGTTAATTTTTTCATTTTGTTAAAAGAAATCAGAAGTGATATGTCAACATCTAAAATTAAAAGAATTAAATTTAGTACAAGAGATTGTAACAAGAATTGATAAAAACTTGGTATACTGATCTTGGGAACTGTTTGATAAAATAAATGCTCCATTTTTCTGATTGAGAGAAAAGGGAAAAGAATAGTTGGTTTTAATGAAATATGAACTGTCAAAATGAGATGTTTATGGGCAACTCATCACTCATAAACATGAGGTCACTATTAGCACTTTAAATAGCTTACTGAAACAAAGAAAATATATAGTACAAAAGTACAAAAATGTATACAATATGCTTCTTTTTGGGCTACCACCATAAATACTTTGTATTTGTATTGCAAAACTGATAAAGCCTAACATAGGGTGTTCTATTATGTGGATGAACTATTATTTTCAAGTACAAACATTTAAATTAGTCAGAAAAGCAGCAGAGGGTCAGTTGTTTTTAAATAAATTAAATTTGTAGTTGATACAGATATCTGTAATAATAGGTGTATGTGCATGTATGTGTATATAACCAATAGAAACTATTTTTCAAGAATGTTCTAAGTCACCAGGGAGTTACCATGTTTGAACTGGGTGGCTATATAAATTTGTTTAATATATAAATGAATTTCAGTAATAATGTATTTCTATTGCTAGTTTAAAACAAGCAGACTTACATCCATCTCTAGATTTTTCTATTTGTTCTCTCAGAAATTTGTCTTTGTGAAGATTAACATCACCAAACCAGAAGTCAACTTGCTTTGCTATATCTGAAAGCACTTGCTTTACTCTAGTTCTTTTCTTTTTTTCTTGTTCCTTTCTTTGTTCAGTAGTTTCTTTCTCCATAATTTTGCTTCTTATATTTTCTGTCTCCATTCTAGCCCACTGTCATCTGAAAATAAAGCATAATTGTAATTTTCAACATAAATCCATCTACTTTACACTTACATTACACAATATGTTAATTAGCGAAGTAATTTTAAGAATTGATCTTTTTCTTAGAAAATATATGTAGAAGGGAGCAAAATTGGAGATGGCTGCTTAGTGGGAAACAACAAAAGACTAAATTTGCAAATATGAAGCTATTAAAAGAATAACAGCCTGGAAATTTTCAGTAGCAGTTTGCTATTCCATATTTCTCAGATCACCTGCATTTTTTTTTCTAAAATATAGCATTCTGACAAAACAATACTCAGCAGATAATACATTTATTATAAAACACAAAGAAAGCAGTTCTTGTTATATTTGCAAGACACACAAGTATACGAGCAAATATATATTAACTCCAAGGGAAAACCACAGTTTCCCAAGTGGGCAAACACATACAACACTGATGCAACATTTCTTATTAAGATATTTTACTTTTCAATATATGAATATGCAGCTCGCTACATAAATTAATGTACAAAGTTCACCATCAAAAGCTAAGTCTCTGCTTCCACAAATACTAAAGTTAACTATACGAACTCTGGAAAAGGGAGAAGAGGAGAAGCGGCTGTTGCCTCCTCCTGAGCAAGGACAGGGCCGAGCATTGAAGATCCCAAAGAAGCTGCAGAGCCCTGCCACCCCTTGGGGCTCCCCAGAACTGACCGGACTCTGCAGCCGGCAGAGGCTTCTAGTCTGCGAGTGACGGAAGCGACAGTACGTTTCCGGATGACACTAAGCGAGGAGTGCCAAGTCTAAACCTAAGAATCTCACCAACTCTTCGGGTTGCGGGTAAAGCCTTCTACGGCACCTCGAGCTACTCCGCCGGAAGGCAGATCACAGCAGCAGCCCTCACGCACTGGAGCCACCGTTCCCCACAGCCCGTTGCAAGCGCGCCTCCAGATAACGTCAGCAGCGCAACCATCTCGACGGTTAAAAGGGCTCATTCACGGGCCCGCCCCGCCCCCCGCTCAGCACGCGCCTTGCCGATCTGGTTGCTGGATTCAGGTTCTCGTGCACGAGGGAAGCGAAGGAGTTAAGTAACCCCCCCCCTTCGCGCACACCCCTTTCGTACCGACGTGCTCTCGAAAGGGCCTATACCTCGCCAGGTACCAGGATGAGGGGTTCAGAGTAATGTCATAGTCTTAAACCGCTGGAAACCCCGATTCTCCGCCGCGTCAACAACGCAGGATTAAATGCTCGCTCTTCCAGATTTCATTGGCTGACGAAGATGTGTACCCATTCCCGTTACGGATCCACAGAGATACAAAAAGTTTAAACGTGCGCTCATACGTGTATCTGTTTAGAAGAGCGATTTTCCAAACTTGGCGACTTTTAGAGGCAGGCTGGCTGAGGAATTCTGGGAATTGAAGTCACACCTTTTAAAGTGGTCAAATTTGAAAAATACTGCTAAAAATCAATCGGTAACAAGAAGATGGCTTTTAGAGTCAATAATGCAAGCGCGTTGACCGTATATCACTGGAAATTGGGATAGAATTCCAGTCAGAAAGATCAGAGAATTGGGTGACTGGGCTAGTCCAGGGCTAGGCAACTTTGGCTCTTTTATGATTCGTGGACTTCAACTCCCAGTATTCCTGAGCCAGCTATGCTGGCTAAGGAATTCTGGGAGTTGAAGTCCAGAGTCATAAAAGAGCCAAGGTTGCTTAGCCCTGGGCTAGTCGCTCCCTTAAGTAGACACACTTTACAGGGATGATGTGTGGGTAAAATAAAGAAATATTAGACATGTTTGCTTTGAAAAACGTATAATACACGCATGATAAAATAAACAATATTTTCATCTATCTACCACATGGTTTAAAAAAGGCATGAATTGATTGATCCTGGAAACTAAGCAAAGCTGACCCAAGTAAGATTTGGATGGGGATTTCATGCTTTCACTAGATTGAGAATAAAAATCAGAAAAAGGCTGTGGCAAAGACATGCACAGTGACTACTGCCACCAGGACTTGACCTTGACTTCAGGTTAAATTCATCAGAGCTCCTTCCTAATACATAAGAATAAAACTGCAGTCCTCTCCTCCTTCCGTCTACTCTAAGTTCACACTAGTACCACTCTACCCTTATCAACTTTATGGTTTAAAGCTCCCCAATGCTGTACTTTAAGGTCCATATGGGAGTCGGTGATCATGACAGTGCAGCATTTTTGTCTCTATGGTATTTGTCGCATCGTAGAGACGTCATCGAGCTTGTGGAGCGGGAACTTTCGTAAGGTAAGACTGCTGAGAGAGGTTGGGGGAGGGAGGGCGGTTGCCTGTGCCATCCCCGGGGCTTGTGAACGAGCTGAGGGTTTTCAAGCTTCTAGACGCCCCTTTGCCAACCTGGCTGAGGAGTGTGGTATATAGATCCGTCAGTAGGTATGATTCGTTTTATACTCTTCTAAAATGGTGTAACTTCAGATTTGTGTGCCATTTCTTTCTGTTAGCCTCTAATGAAAAAGAGACAACGGATTCACCAAGTTCTCATATCTTCTTACCTCTGCAGGGTTCAAAGCTATGTTAACTTGGGATGGCAGTCTTTTAAGGCAGAGGTGAGCAATAAATGGTCCCCAGACCCCCTCTCAGCATGGCTGAATTTAACTCCAGTAATTACTGAAAATCAACGGTGCAGTTTCTTGTTATGGTGTGACAGGAAGCCCCTAAACCAGGGGTAGGCAACCTTGGCTCTTTTATGACTTGTGGACTTTAACTCCCAGAATTCTGGGAGTTGAAGTCCACGAGTCATAAAAGAGCCAAGGTTGCCTACCCCTGCCCTAAACACTCTAGCATAGATCATAAATAGGTTTAAGACGACTTTGTTTGAAATGACTTCCACCACCTAAAAAAAAGATGAAATTCTGCTGCAGCATGTAATAACTATGCCCACGTTCAGTGGTGGGATTCAGCCAGTTTGCATCAGTTCAGCAGAACCGGTAACTAATTTTTTGTGGCCCAGGCCCAGAATGGACTTCCGGAAGCAGCATCCACGCAGAGAACTGGTTGTTCACATATTTGAATCCCACCACTGCCCATGTTGTGTTTGAGTCTCATTCCCACTCAACCTAAAGAAATTCAGTGTTCGAAAGGTTGCTGCCAGAAACTTGCCTGTTTCTCAGGGATTTAATCCATATAACCCAGTTCCATAGAAGTATTTTGCAGTAGAGGAGACATTTATTTTTATTTATTCATATCTAGCCTTTATTATTTTCACAAATAACTCAAGATGATGAACATAGCCAACATACCTTTCTCCTCCTATTTTCCCCAGAACAACAACTCTGTGACATGAGTTGGACTGAGAAAGGGCGACTGGCCCAAGGTTACTCAACTGGTTTTTGTGGCTGAGGCCTGACTTGAATTTACAGTCTTTTGCTTTCTAGCCTGGTGCCACTACCAAACTGCCTCTCATGACATAAAATGGATGACAAAAAAGAATGACAAAAAAGTCATCCATAACTCCATGGAAAAAAAGCATGATAGAAATGTAATAAATAAGTGTCAGAACTGTAGTTTAACGTCATATGCTATAATTTGTTGATAAGGGCAGGATGAAAATGAGATTAGCAAATTAAAACAGGGAGCAACAATGTCAGGGGTGTTTAGAGTTCAGGGTAAAATAAAAAATAGGTTGCAATAATGACTAGAAGTATAGATAATAATAATAATAATAATAGTAATAATAGTAAAGTTGGAAGGGACCTTGGAGGTCATCTAGTCCAACCCCCTGCTCAGGCAGGAAACCCTACACCATTTCGGACAAATGGCTGTCCAGTCTCTTCTTAAAAACTTCCAGTGTTGGAGCATTTACTGCTTCTGGAGGCAGGTTGTTCCATTGATTAACTTTTCTCACTGTCAGGAAGTTTCTCCTTAGTTCTAGGTTGCTTCTCTCCTTGATTAGTTTCCACCCATTGCTTCTTGTCCTGCCTTCAGGTGCTTTGGAGAATAGCTTGGTTCCCTCTTCTATATACTGTTTATATTAGGTTTAGCAAGTCTAATCTCTAGTAATTATATGCTACTGGTATCAAGTTAGTGGTGACCCTTAGTGATCATATAGGCAGGCCTTCTCCAGGATAATGTCTTCCCAAGCTGGACCTTCAGGTCTCCAGTGGTGCACCCATTGCTGCTGTATCAGGCCTATTCTCTTTTCTCCCACCTTTTCCAGCATCAAAGGAATGTGTCTGAAATATAATTTGAGCCTGATTATGAAAACTCTGGATATATTTGTTCTGTGATTTTTTAAATAATCAGCTAGCTTGATTATTAATCTCATTACATAATTACAAAGTTTTTCTGAGAAAGATTTAAGTGAGACATCTTGTGGTCATTACATGGAATTGAACATATTGAGGGAATGTATTAGATTACACAACAAAATTCAAAAAAATCTTTTCTAAAAAACTCAGAATAAATTGCAGTTTAAGAGACATCATGTAGCTAAAGCTATATTCCTATAGAAAATTAAATATCTTCATTTAAAACAATATTTATTTCTGAAGGTAATGCACTGCTTGGCTGCAATTTTAAAAATATTTGCTCCAGAATGATTTTCATTGAAACTGGGATTTCTAGATGAACACATCCAAATCACATTCTGAACCAGAGAATTCATATTCCTCATATATTGTTAAGCAAATAATATAAAATGAAATGTATAAATATAAAAATATGTAGCTTAGAATTTGAGAGATGTTATTTTAACAGGATGTTTCCTTTTGCAGATCATGTGATGATTGGAAGTGAAAGCAGGTGGTATGATCTTAGCATGCCAAAATAATGGCTTATCAGGAATTTATTGTGAGTTTATAATCCTTTTTATTTATTTCAATAATATTTCATATATTAAATATATCATGAAATAAAAATATAAACAAAATAGTGAAATGGTAATCAAGAATATATTTTCACATATCAATATAGGTTTTATACACACATCAGAAAACTAAAAAATCTAAAGTGTGGCAAGATGGAATTTTGAAGGCCGCATTTGGAGGAAATAAGGTAAATATGTAGGTTCAGTTTTGTGGTATAGCGTCAGCAGTTTTATATCTGTTAATCCATTTATATCGGTACCTAATGAAATATCCACTGTTTTATTTTTCTCATTTAATACAGGCAAACTTATTTGATGATAAAGGACAGCTTTTGGATAGTATTTTCATAAAATTTCAGGTATTTGTGCTTTATTTTTATTTGTTTAGTGCAGATTATCCTGAACTTATGACCACAATGGAGCCCAGAATTTTGGTTACAAGTTGTTGTGATGGTAAGCCACCACATTATCAGATTTGATTTTATGACCCTTTTTTATGTTGGTTGTAAAGTGAGTCATGATTTTTGTAAAATATTTTGAATGGAAACCAGCAAAAAGCATTGCAAATTGACTTTGCACGTGATGATAAGCCAGTTGTCAAAATCATGTGACCATTGCTGACCTGACACCAATCTGTTTCACCCTGTTCCATCCAAACTGACTTTCTGTAAAGGTTTCTCATTAGCCCAGTGAGATATTTTGGTATTTTAATTTTCTTAAGGAGATTGCACACTTTGATCAAGTCTACACCTTAGTTTTTAACTTAGTCAAAATGCATGATTAGCGTTGCCTGTCACATCCTTGTTTCTTTGTGTCCTGTCAGCTCATCCATGACATTTTTGACTACCATCCTGGCTGATGTCATAGTTATAATGCAAAGCCTTTGATTTTTTTCTCTTTTGACTCATAAATTCCTATCTTCTATGTACTTCCCAGTAAGAAGATTGGATTAAATTGATCTCACTTGAGGCGTTCAACTTTGAGGAATTGATCTAAGTTTAGTGGAGACAAGTATTAAGTCTTGCCAACTCTTGGGAATGTTGAAGTCATGACTCTCATACCTCTGCAGACACAATACAGATAGCATTCATTCAATAGGACACTCAAAAAAGTAGTCTTATTTTTCCTAAAAGACAGTTGAAACAGTGGCAGTTAGGCTTTTTCTAAACCAACCAATGCATAGTAAACTGTCTTTTTCCCATTTGTACATTTTGCAGTGACCTAACTGACAGCAAAAGTCTGTCTTTCAAACAAGTATATTTTCAGTAGTTATCACTAAATTCAGGGAAAACAATAATGCATTAAATAATCTAAAAGATATAAATGCTTAAAATATTCAGTGAATATTATGTGGAATCAAGTTTACCTAGATATGCTTAAAGAATGCAATAGAGAAGCGGCATTGACACTGCGAAGTTATATAAATGTGCTGAAATTAAAAATATTTTGTATCCATCTCTCTAGATAAAACCTGGTGATGACTTTGAATCTGAACGATATTTAATCACTATAGAAAGTGAAAATGTTTCTAAAACTGATTATAATCAGTCAAAGAACACAGGACAGCAAAAATTAACAAGCAATCCCTTGAAATCCCTTGCTACTTCATCCCTATGCCATCCAAAGCGAAAATATTCTGTATGTTGTCTTTTCTTTCTTTGATACTTTTAACACTTGATAAGATCGTACAGTGATCTGGGTTTGAAAGAAAAAGGGTGATATGGAGTATTTAGGAATTCTCAAATAGTACTTATCAGATCTTTAAGGAATCATTACAGGTGGTCCTCAACAACAATTTGAAGTTATAACAATGCTGTAAAAAGTGATGTATGATCTGTTTTCACACTTATGACTGTCGCAGTACTCTTGTATCACATGATTAAAATTTGGGCTCTTGGCAACCAGTTACGTATTTCCAATGGCTGCAGTGTCCTAAAGTCATGCGATGAACATTTGGGACCTTCACAGGGCCATACCAATAAGCCATGTCAATGGGACACGTTAGATTTACTGAACAACTGTGTGATTCACTTAATGAACATGTCAAAAAAGTATTAAAATCAGGTGCAACTCACTTAATGACCAGATTGCTTAGCGATGGAAGTTCTAGTTCCAATTGTGGACATAAGGTGAGCACTGTCTATATCTTTTCCTCTGTTTGTGCATTGCCTCCCACAAGATACGTTTTCTATAAGCAGGTGCTAATAGGTGCCATGTAGGTACCCATGCTCACTTTAAATCACCTTTTTCCCCTTTGGAACTTGATCACTTAAGTAAATTCTAATTCAGTAGCAAATTATGTGTTTGTCATTATTGGTATTGGCAACTGAGCTGGAATTTCCATTACTAAGTGATGCATTTGTAAAATGTAACTGCATCACTTAGCAACAGTAATCCTTGCATTCCCTGTTGCCATTCTTAATGAATTGCATAGTTATTAGGAGAGGCAAGTTCTGCCAGCATTCCCCAATGAAGTCAATGGAGAAGCTAGCAGCAAGTGCAAGTCTCAGATGGTTTGCAAGCAGACTGATAAGCAGGTGTAATTGGCTGTGGGAGAGATGAGCTTTGGGAAGGAGTGGTGGGGAGAGAGTGCAGAGCTACACATGGCCGGTGTGGCAGAAGCACAAAAGAGCCAGTCGGGGTCTCTGGATGGCAGATACTTACCCCAGCAACTTGTCACCTTCCCTGCTGTCTTCCCCATTGACTATCTGAGAAAGCTGGCAGGGAAAGTTGCCAATGGTGGTCATATGATCGCAGGGTGCTGTGACAGCCAAAGCTCTGAAGACAAGTTGTAACCACTGTTTGTTCAGCGCCATCATAATGATTGCTGAATGAATAATTATAGGTTGAGGACTACCTATAATCAGCCATCTGTGCACACCCTACACTTAGTGACTGTTTAAAGTTACAGCAGACTCTTAAAAGGGGACTCACGACCCAGTCTCAAAGTTCCAAAGTCGTTGAGGGGTGGATTGCAGTCATGTGACTACATTTTGGATGCTGGGTAACTAGCCTGCATTTACTGCTACATCTGATGCCTTGTGGTCACATGGCCACAAGTACGACGTTTTTGCGAGAAACCAGCATTTATTTTTGGTTTACAGCAAAAAAAAATGCCCCATTGCAAACAGTGGGTTTGCTTAACAACCAGTACCAAAAGGTCATAAAGTGGGTCCGATTTACAAACCTCACAAGTTATGGCTGTAATTGCAGGGCTCAAGTATGGTTTTAACTTGAGGACTACCTGTACTGCCAGTGATTTTTGTTCCCTACCATCTGCAATGGTGAAATAATTCAAATAATCCACTGCATTTCATACTGGCAATAACCCTGATTATGAGTGTTCATAGCAGCAGGTATAATACATGCTGTTAGATCAGCAAAAGAAAATGAATAAAAGCGAACTGTAGTATGGTGTACGAGCTGTATGGATGCTACCATGTGTGAATATTAATCAGTTGTCTGAACTACTTTGCCGACAGTTAAATATGAAAAATTTATATTATATTGATTGATTGATGCAATATCATTGCTGCTATTGTATTAGTAATATTATTTCCAGTCACCTTAATTTGGTTTCACAGCTGAAACAGATACTTCCAACTTTCATGAATTGCACTTTATAGAAATATATGAGTGAATTGCACTTGGTTTTTAAAAGAAAATAAGCCCCCATTTAAGTTCTGTTATTCAGTTATAAATACTGAAAAGAATAGAAGTTCTTTTGTAAAATACATTGGCATGATCAAAGTAGTGCCTGTTAAAGCACTGAGAAAAGATTTCCTCTATAAAATTCATTGCTGCCACTATAAAGGTTTTTCTAATCTAGATGGTCTTTGAATATTCAGACAAAATCTTTCCAGTAGCTATGTTGGACCTTCTAGTGGACTCTGTTGCCTCAGTGCTGTGTGGAAGATTCTTTTTTTTTTTTTTTGAAAAATGCTTTTTTAAATACTTTGTACAGCTTTATTGTATAGTAAGCATGTTATAAGTGATATGTTCATGATTGATATTTCATTTATTAAATTTGCCATGCATGCAAAATATTCTTCCAGGGTTTCCAAGTACCACGTCAGGTGGAAAAGAAAAAGTTAGTGGAAGAACCTGCGTTGACATCTACATCTGACAGTCCTCTTTCATCCTTCCCCCACCAATTTTATGCGTCTTCTCCTTTATTTTCTGTTCCTTGCCAAAATAGGGAAGATGTGGAGCCTGTTAGTTTTCTGGCTTCTACTTCTTTAGATGATAAACATGAACTAGTACAGAATAAAAAATGTAATAGCAATAGTTTAGCTGTTGAATATTTGAAGCCAAAATTTCAGTTAGAAAATGCATTGGTCAATTCAGGATATCATGCATTTTCACAGAACATTCGAAGCAGATCTAAAATTATAGCACTTTTGAGTCATGACCAACGTGTTTCCACGAGACTAGAAAATGAGGCTACTGCCTCACTGAAAAATCTACAGTTTACAATGATACAATCAGAATCCAACCCAGAAGTTTTATTGCAAAGAAAAAGCCGATGGGATGCTTACATGCCATCATGTTTATCTGATGTACACAATGCAGAAAACAACGAAGAAAATACTAGCAATTTGCAATCAATTGAAAAGGGCTTAAATGAGAGTGACTGTGTAAACAGAAGCCAATACAATGACCATAAAGGAATTCCACAAATGCCGCCTTCTTGGAAACTTGATATTTTTCCTGTTAGTAAAGGTTCTATTGGAAGTCAGCCATCTGACTTTTTCCCAAGTGAAACCTTCATGAATGAAAGCAATAACTCTGAATTAAGTTCACTTCATAATGTTAATTTGAGCTATGGAAATGCACCTAAAACATTTGAAGACTCATCAGAATCAAGCAGACATGGAATCATTGGTAATTTGGAAAGGAGTTGCCCAGGTGCTGACTTTGCAAATCCAGGAAAACAGTTCACAGAGGTTAACTTTAATCTTTTAAATATGCTGGATTTTAGTGACACAGAAGATAATAACCCTAATGAAAACAGCATTGTTCCACAAGGTTCTGTATGCCTAAGGCAAGAAATTAAAAATCAAGTTGAGGTCAGTGCTGAAAAAAACTGTGATGTAGCACCATGCGGTAGTGAAAGGAAAGACAATGTACAGTTAGAATTTCTACAAGATCAGGAGCCCAGGAGCTCAGGATTACAGCCAGCACTTTGTGATGAAATTTCTGCAAAGCCTGTCAACATTAAAGAAAAGAGTACAACTCTTTGGGACAAAAAATGGCAAAATTCAGTGGTTTTGATTAATGAGAAGACAGACACAAATACATTATATGCTCAGAATATGGATGTTCACCAGCAATTACCTTGTGCTAGCAGAAGCTTTGTAATGGAAAATGATGTGGACTGTGAAATACATGATAGTGAGTATTACACTTAATTAACTTAGAATAGAAAAAGTAACATTCCACATATTTTGCTGCTTCATATATTTGCAAATAAAAATAATGTTTATAAAATACAGGTATTGAAACATAGTTATAGTAACAAAATAATTCTTTTCAATAAAATGTAACAAAAGTTATGACCTTTTCCCCAGTGCATTTCAAACAAACATTAAAAAATGTTTTTTAAGTTAGTTACTCCTTAAAAATAGCATATGAGTAAGCTTTATAATTAGAAGATGCACAATGTATTTTCATTTTTTCATAAAAAACAAATCCAATGAAGAAAAAGATTTCAGTTTATATTACCCTTCAGCTATTGATTCTTGTCCTTCCTCAGTTGGTAAGTGGTTTCAGATTTATTAGTCTATTTTTGAACATATTATGACCTTAGGAAGCCAATGCACCCAGAGTGAGATTAATAGAAAAAGGCTGTTGCTTTTAATTCTGTAATATGATATAGTTTGAAGTATTTTTTCACTAATGTACCAACCTTTTTCCCTACCTGAATTTTAGAAATGTTGCAAAATATCTTTACTGTGAAAGTATTTTGTAGAGAGAGGCTATAGTTACTTTAATTTTCAGAAAATTAGATATGATTTGTGTAATATTTTTGCAATTTTGCACTGTTGATTAATAACATTTAAAATTAAAATCTGTTTACTAATCAGTTAACAATTTTACTTTTACTAATTCATTTTGGGAAAAGAAAATTATTTCTTGTTTTATTATATTTTTCATGAAATTACTCTTAAAGCGGCGTACATCTGCTTAAAACATCAAAATATTTAATACTGGAATAAATTAAAAGTGTAAACTTTTGCCTACAACTGAATTTTTTTATAGGTGCTGTTTTTGAACAAGCTTCTGTGTTTCTTACTTCTCCATCTTTTTATTTGTGACATGGTCGTAATAATGACTGCAAAATTATTGTAAAAACTATTAAATTTCAAAACAGAAATGTTGCATTACTTATCAAAACATTTGCTGTAAGAAGCAAATGAAACATTCTCAGACTAAGTTCTATTTTTAGTTTCTGTCATGTATTTATTAAATTACTATGCCACCTATTTCCCAAAGAGGTGATATAAAACCATTTTTCCCTGTCTCATCTGAAAAGCAGAGCACATGAAACAAATTTCTCATTTTTTTCTCAGGTTTCTCTGAAAGTGGTGATCACTAAAAAAGATTATATAACTCTGATTCTTAACATGAATTCAGTATATGAAAAGCATTCTTATAATTTGTCATAAGATCTAAATCTCAATTTATGGGGGTTATTTTTGATCAGGGGTCCCCAACCTGTGGGCCACGGCCCACTACTGGTCTGTAGCCTGCTGCCCACCAAGCCATGGAACAGGCTGGCCAGTGCACGCACATGTGTGTGTGCATTCACCTCCACTCACACTAGCGCCACTGCTGCTACGCAAACGGGGCGCTATGCGGTGAAAACGGAGCGCCCTACAGCGAAAATGGGGCGGTGCTAGCGAGCGTCACATAGGCACTAGCACTGCTCCATTTGCATCGTGTATGCTTGTGGCCTCTTTTATGCACATGCAACACGTAAAATGGTTCCCTTCACTTTCCCTCCGGTCCGCCAACCAAGAAAAGTTGGAGACCTCTCTTTTAGATATTCTCAAAGGCTCGTCTCATATCAAAAATACCAATAGATGTTGACAATAAGCTGTACTTTGTTATGTGGCAGAACTGAACTGACCTAAATTTAGATGTTTATCATTGGACTGGTAGACATGAACTTCCTGGCTTCTGCTTCTTTATAGCAGGCCTTCCAATCTCTACTCACGGAAGATGAACATTTTTAAAGGAGGAGAGGAATTGTCCTATATCATAATCTTAATCTGAGGATCCCCAGAACATGAGACTCTAAGCTGGGAAAGCAAAAGGGGAGTCCTTAGTATTATCAGAACTACAAAGCCAAATTTATATCCAAGCTAAGGCTTTTAAAAAAAAAAAAAAAAAATACATACTTAAAAAGAGTTGCTCTTGGCATAATGTGATTGGTAATACCGTTTGTAAGTGATTTTTACACTATTTGGTTTTTCTTAAGTTAATAATTGATGTTAGATTTTTTTTTCAAATATATTATTGTTATTCTGTTTCTAATAATTTTTAGCTCTAGCAATTCTTCTGTAACTGTGAATTTAACAATTTAACGTTATTCTGACTAATTCTATCAAAATGAATACATGTCTGACATATTCAAATATACAAAAACATTAATCCACAACAGACATACACATATTGATTTAGCCTGATGACTGAAGTTCATTGTTTCTTCCCCCCTCCTCTTTGGTAGTTAAAGGAAGTTTTGCTGAAGCATTTTGTTCTGAAGATGAGCAGATACCTTGCCTGCATTCTGACTCAACAAATTTGGTAATCTTTTGATGTTGTATCATAATAAAAATTCAAAATCCAGTTTAAATATCTGGCTAACTGTGCAACCATCATCACCAATTATAATGGCTTTAATCTGTGTGTTACATAGTGCATTTTAAGGGGACTTTTCTATCTGCGTTTTTCTTACCAACTAGTTATGGTCCTGCTTGCAGGCCTTTAGAGTCCTAAAATTCGCTTCATTGTCTGGGGATTCTCCAGAGCAAGGTTTTGTTGATGAAAAAAATCTTCAATCTCCTATATGAGAAGTGTTGGCTTGAGAGAGAGAGAGAGAGAGAGATGATAGATAGATAGATAGATAGATAGATAGATAGATAGATAGATAGATAGATAGATAGATAGATATTATTTCATTAGTGTTGCTTACTAAATGTGACACTGCCAGATACTGAGCAACATTACTCAAAAGGAGCTTCAAACACCCTAGCCAAAAGCCTGGACCCTCTGAAACACCAGTAGGATAGGAGCCATCGGGAGTGGGAAGGGGGGGGAACTTTACTGTGATAGAGAAGGTGTGATAGATATTAGATGAAATTGAGTAAGGTTATTGTTACTCAGGGCTCACCAATGAATGTAAGGGTTAACAAATATCAAATGACAATTTTTGCAATTGAACAAATTAATAATTTATTGTCTCATTTTTTAAAAGTTATTAGTAACGATACGCAAAGTATACCTACATTCTGAAGTTTTAATTGTGCTTACAGCTATATATTTTTCAAAATTTAAAAGACTGAAATATTGCTATTGGTGTAGAAAAAAGAGATATAAGGTTAAACCAAGCTAAAACTCCAATGTATATACAAGTGTGCTTGGCTATACATTAGATTGTTCTGTAGTCTGATTCTAGCAATTACAAATAATAAGTTCATTTTGGGATGACTAGGTAATTATTTAACTTCTGGAAATCCTAAAAACTAAATTTGTTTTACTTTTTTGCCTATAAATTTAATTATTGCCTAAGCATTAACTTTATATTGCTGTGATGCTTCTATTAACTGGATATTATATTATTAGAAAGGAGATGGGGGCAAGATCCCACATACCAAAAATGAATAAATGGAATGTACTAATTTTAACATTTTATTTTTTTAAAATGCCCTAATTGCCACCTAAAACAAAATAAAAGCCAGCCAGTTAAAGTTGTTTTTTAAATCCATATTATGTATTATAAGATATTGTATTGGAAATAAAACATTTGCATGTTAAAAGTGATTTTGAGGTAATGATTTAAAGGTAGTATTTTTTGAGGTAATGATATAAAAGTAGTAGTTTATTAATTAATTTGTCTTATAAACAGATCAAAGGATTTAAAAGGTATAGGATTCAGTAATATAGGTAAAATTTAAAAAAAATTCCTATGACACCTTTTTAAGGTAGGAATTCTCTCCTTAAAAACATGAGGTGGTGCAGCAGTTAGAGTGCAGTACTGCAGGCCACTTTAGCTGACTGTGTTCAGCAGGTCAGCGGTTCAAATCTCACCGGCTCAAGGTTGACTCAGCCTTCCATCCTTCCGGGGTAGGTAAAATGAGGACCCAGATTGTTGGGGGCAATGTAAATATATATATACATTGCTTACTGGTGTACACTGCTTAGAGAGTGCTTGCACTTAAAAGCGGTATATAAGTCTCATAAATAAATAAATAATAAATATTTTATTAAAGTTTACTATAACAATAATAATAAAGTTGAAAGGGACCTTGGAAGTCATCTAGTCCAATCCTCTACTCAGATAGGAAACCCTATATCATTTCAGACAAATGGCTGTCCAGTCTCTTAAAAACTTACAGTGTTGCAGCATTTACAGTTTCTAAAGACAGGTTGTTCCACTGATTAATTGTTCTGTCTAAATTTCTCCTTAGTTCTAGGTTGCTTCTTTCTTTGGTTAGTTTCCATCCATTGTTTCTTGTCCTACCTTCAGGTGCTTTGGAGAATAGCTTGACTCTCTCTCTTCTTTGTGGCAACCCCTGGGATATTGGAACACTGCTATCATGTCACCCCTTGTCCTTCTCTTCATTAAACTAGACATACTCAATTTCAGCAACCGTTCCTTATATGTTTTAGCCTCCAGTCCCCTAATCATCTTTGATGCTCTTCTCTGCACTCTTTCTAGAATCTCAACATCTTTTTTACATCATGGTGATCAAAACTGGATGCAGTATTCCAAGTGTGGCCTTACCAAGGCATTGTAAAGTGGTATTAACACTTCACATAATCTTGATTCTATCCCTCTGTTAATGCAGCCTGGCACTGTGTTGGATTTTTTTGGCAGCTGCAGCACACTGCTGGCTCATATTTAAGTGATTGTCCACTAGGACTCCGAGATCCCTCTCACAGTTATTACTATTGAGAAGCTACCACCTATATCAGGAATGTCAAACTGCCGGCCCGTGGGCCGGATGTGTCATCCCAAAACCGCGTCCACCCCATTCCCATCAATGGAGAAAAAGCTCCGATACGTCACGCGACGTCACATGACGTCGCGAGTTTGACATACCTGACCTATACTATACCTGTGTATTTGGTTTTTCATGCCTAAATGTAGAACCTTACTTTTTTCACCATTGAATTTCATTTTGTTAATTAGCGTCCAATGTTCAAGTCTGCAAGATCCTTCTGTATCTTAAGCCTATCTTCTGGAGTGTTGGCTATTCCTGCCAGCTTGGTATCGTCTGCAAATTTGATGAGTTCTCCATCTATCCTCCCATCCAAATCATTGATGAAGATGTTGAAGAGCACTGGGCCCAGAACAGAGCCTTGGGGCATCCCACTACACACTTCCCCTCATGTAGATGCGGTTTCATTGAGGACCACACGCTGAGTGTGGCCGGTCAGCCAGCTACAAATCCTTTTGGCGGTGGTGCTGTCTAACCCACATTTTTCTATCTTATCAAGTAGTAGGTTGTGGTCTACTTTATCGAATGCCTTACTGAAGTCCAGGTAAATTATATTCACAGCATTCCTCAGGTCCATTAATTTTGTCACTTGGTTAAAGAATGCAATAAGATTTGTCTGGCATGATCTGTTTTTGACAAACCCATGTTGGCTTTTGGTAATGACTTTGTTTGCCTCTAGGTGTTCGCTGATTCGTTGCTTGATTATCGTTTCCAGAATCTTCCCAGATATTGAGGTCAGGCTGATAGGTATGTAGTTTCCTGGATCCATTTTTTTTCCTTTTTTGAAGATGGGAACTACATCAGCTTTTTTCCAGACTTCTGGTAGTTGTCCAATGCTCCAGGATCTTTAAAAGATATAATTTAGTGGTTCTGAGATCATATCTGCCAGTTCCTTCAGAACCTTGGAGTGTAATCCATCTGGTCATGGGGATTTGAACTCGTCTAGTGTAGACAGGTGCTCACTTACCATTTTCTTACCTATCTTAACTTGTGTTTCTAATCTGTTTCTCACGGTACTGTTTTTGATAGATTGGACTGTTTTTTTCCTTTGTGTAAAGATGGATGCCAAAAAAACGAGTTAAATAATTCTGCTTTCTCCCTGTTGCTTGTCACCTTCTTGCCACTTTCTCCCACTAATGGACCAATCATTTCCTTAACTTTTTTCTTGTTTTTTACATGTTGAAAGAAGCTTTTTTGTTATATTTGACTTTTGTCGCAAGCCTTAGTTCATTTTGAGCCTTAGCTTTCCTCACCTCATCTTTGCAAGGCTTGGGCTATTTGCTGATATTCTGCCTTAGTTATGTGCCCCTCTTTCCACTTTAATACTTGTCCTTTTTGTCTTTCAATTTATCAGAGAGTTCTTTATGCAGCCATGCTAATTTCTTTTGAGAGCTATTATTTTTCTTCTTTGTTGGTATTGTGCTAGACTGGGCTTTTATTATCTCATATTTCAAAATTTTCCAAGCTCCTTGAGTTGTTTTCCCCTTGAGGATTCTCATCCGTGGAATCCTTCCCAACTTCTCTAAGTTTATTGAAATTAGCTCTCTTAAAGTCCAAGACTCTAGTTTGACTGTGTTCTATTGCTTTTGCTTGCATAATGTTGAATTCCAATATTGCATGATCACTTCTCCCCAAGGTTCCTGTGGCTCCAACACCTTCTATCATTTCATCTCTGTTAGTGAGAATTAGGTCCAATATAGCTGATCCCCTAGTTCCCTTCTCTTCTTTTGGGCAGACACAGTTGTCTGCTAGGTTTGTCAGGAATCTGTTTGATCTTCCACTTGATACAGAGTTTGTTTCACAGTTGATGTCAGGGTAATTAAAGTTCCCCATTACTATTGTAATGTGCTTCCTACATATCTTAGTTAGCTGACTAGCAAAAAGTTCATCTATTTTCCCTGTTTGGTTGGGTCGCCTATAGTATAAACCTATGGCAATGTCATTTTTTCCCCTTTTATATTGACCCAAATGCATTCAGGACAGTTTTCATCATTTTTGTGCTCTATTTCTGTAGAGATGTAGTTATTTCTTATATAGAGAGAAATTCCACCTCTTTTATTTGGTCTGTTTCTTTTAAATAATTTAAATCTCTCTAGCTATGTGTTCCATTTGTGGGTTTCATCTCACCAAGTTTCCGTAATGGCAACAATATCATATCTGCCCTCATTTATCTGAATTTCTAGTTTACCCTGTTTATTGCTTATACTCTGTGTGTTGGTGTATAGACATTTGAGTCCTTTATGACTGACCCCGTGTTTACTTTCTACATAACCTGTGTAGTGCCTGAGTTCCCCTATTTTCTTACCACCTGTTTGATTAGTGCACTTGGTGTTGTACAAAAGCTTGATTTTGCTTGACAGCTAGGTTGATATTTTTGTCCACACACGCCTCTGTTACATGCACTGATAACCTATAATTTGCTGGGGACAGGAATGTTCTGTATCAATTAACTCACTGTCCCCATTATTCAGCTTAAATATTTCTCCAGGAAATCTGAATTTATTGCCAAGTAACTCAGTCCCTTTCTTTGATGGATGCAAGCTGTCTCTTTTGTACACTTTTTCATTGGACCAGTAGCAGATGTCATGACTAATATAACCAAAGCTTTCCCCTTTACACCACTCCTTTAACCACATATCGAATTCTGCTATATGTTGGCCTTTTCCATTTTGTTCCTTATACACTGATAAAAAGATAAAATACAATTAGAAACAAAAATTAGGGAAGTTAAAGAAGGAAGAAGGAAAAAATGGTGGCTTGACTTTTTGTAGTGCAGTAGAAGACAAAAAAAGTTACTTCAGCCTGTACATTTCTAAATATTTCAAGTTATTTCTGTAACATCAAAATCACTCTAGTCATCAAATTAGATTAGGAGTTCTCAATTGAAATCTAAAGACGCTTATGTTTTGATGAATTTCATCATACATCAAATTAAATAATGAACTAAAACGCTTTGCAGATGTGATGTAAGATCATAACATGTTTTGATTTCTATTTCTGAATCAAGTTTCAGTATAAAGTAAAAACTGCAACTTTGGAAATTTAAAATTAAAAACACTCAAATGCTTAAACCATAAGGCCAGTTTGCTGTTATGGTTAACAAAATAAACAAATATGACATATCCTTGCAAATGTTATTTTTCTTGGTGCTTATTTTTTGGTCAATGAATAGCATTGCTTTACAATATCTGTTCCATTAAATGCATAAAGGTAGTTGAATTTCACGGACACCAGGTGAAAGGCTCAGCAGCTAGTGAGATGATGACAAGAGAACACTGTTCGTATCACAAAAAGGATCTACAAAGTGATATGACCATATCTGAAAGTGCTTCAAAGGATGCATTTTTTTTCTCAGCCCAAGAACTGAGCTGTCCTGGGGTGCCTGAGTTTGTTAAGGTAAGATTTTTAAATGTATACTTTTTTACATCTATGAACATACTTTGAAAAAGTCAGTGTTATAAGGGCTTAAATACCGTTGTATATAAAAGGAGTAATCAATATCACTATCATCAAATTCGTAAGATAGGATGTTGCTTGTAAGGATCAGATAGTTTAATCCTCATGGGGGGTGAAGATCTTTATAAATATTTTATGCTACCAAATTTTTAAAAGGAATTATTGAGGCTCCTGTTTAGTGCCCTTGTTTTCTTTATTAATTATTTGCCAAGCTGACATACAATGATTAATGCCCAGAATTAATCCAAAAACCAATGTTATCCCGGAATGCATTAAATGTGTTTATTGGGGGGGGGGATTTATCCTTAGTCTCTAGGTTCAAGGAAACTTTCAGAAGATAATCTCAGTAACAGTGGAACTAAAACATTTAGAAAGGAATTCAATGTTTTTGAAGAAAAAGGCAATAAATTTTGTAAGTATCTATCAATATGAACAATTAATGACCAAAATGTAGCATTCGTCTTCAATATTTTGTATGTTTCTTCCTCTTAATAGTAACAAAGACTGCATCTTTTAAACCTCCAAGTCAGATTGTGACAAATTCTTCCTCAAATCTAGACTTTACTGAGTCTGCTTCGAAGGAATTTAATAAGGTAATGACTGGTGGCTCATTTTGTTTTATTAACAAAAAGATTACTACCACAAAGCTGCCTTAATTCTAGATACTGCCAAGATATTATGTCATTAGGATCATATACTGTCCAAGAATTTTGAAATGTTTTTCTCTCATTTTTTTGAAGAATATAATATTCTTCAAAAATATCTTTTTGTCCCTTTTTTTCTTAAAATATATTTCTCTTTCTCTAGAAAAGAAGGGATATGTATGTATCTAAACACACACACACACACACACACACAAATATATATATATACACACATACATACATACACATATACATACATACCTACATACATACATACACATATATACACAGAGTAGTAATCAAGAACACCGTTATGTATATCTGTTACTAATTTTGAGTTAGAATTTATTTAGGTACTAAGTGAATATTAAAATTCAGTTCATTGTTTTCGGTAAAATATAGAAATAAATGCTTAGAAATGTAGACATTCGTATCTATTTGTAATTATACTTTTTACATTCCTTCTGTTCAGCTGTTATCAAAACAATGGGTTTCTTCACAGACTACTGGCTGTCATTTTTTCCCAACTCCAAGTAGTAAAGAAACAATACAAGAGCAGGAATTGCTGATGTCCAAAACTCATCCAGACTTGTATATGGATAATAAAAAACCCTTTTTCAGTAAGAAAGGTTTGATTGTTAATGATATAAATAACAGTTGTGCCAGATTTTTCTGAATGCTCCAGTTAGTGTTTGAGCATTCTTAATCTAGTTTGATCACTAACAAAATGTAAGTAATTCATATTTTAAAAAATGTTGCCGAAATTTCCTCCATCCCTGCCTATTTCCCTGGGTCATGATTTTTCTGCTCATAAAAAGGACCTTCTGTGTCTCCTGATCTCTGTGACTGCAGCTTTTCATTTATGAGTTATTTTGTATCCATGAACAAAATAAATGTATTCAGTCTCTACCTATCACATCCCAGTTATTTTCTATTTATGAAATAGGTATAAAAATGCAATATTAAGGGATGGAGACATTACAAAATGCTTTGATGTCTTCCCAATTTATAATCTAATTGATTTTGTTTGAGGTGTACCCAGTGGTGGGATTCAGCCAGTTTGCATCACTTCGGCAGAACCGGTAGCTAATTTTTTGTTGCCCAGACTCAGAATGGACTTCCAGAAGCGGCATCCACACAGAGAACTGGTTGTTCACATATTTGAATCCCACCACTGGGTATAGCTATGTTAATAAAAGTAACTAGGAACTCAATTTGACTTTCAAATAACGGAAAGACACACTTTAATCTTTACTCTTATGAAACTTTTTCCTGTACTTTAAAATTTAACTGTATTAGTTTTGAAGAATATAGCAATTCCAAATTTTCAAGAGTGTGTAAACAAAGTTTTAAGATCCTTTTCTTTAACAAAATTATTAGTGTAGTTTTATTGTAACCTTCCAGTAAGAAATATATTGTGCTGTATTAGTAATGATTGCAGTTGAAGTTTTTGCTACTGAAAATATTTAGAGAAAGGCAGTCCATTCCCAAAAAATAATACTAATATTAATGTTTCACTATATTATCAATAGAATTTTGTTTTCAAGTGTCCGCATACTGTACCCTGTTTTATAGGAATGGGAGAGTCCACATATCCAGAAAATGATATGTCTATCCTCTTACCTGCTCTTGGAACACAAACTCCAGTTGTTCCTGGACTTGTAGATAATCTACTTCCTGATTCCCAACTTTATTCCAGTGCACAAATCTGTAAACAGATTCACCATCATTGTGATTTCTCAGTAGTCAATACATATGACATGTCAGAAATGCTAGAGCCTAAGGACAGGATGTGTAAAATTTTTGTGGGTGAAAAGTACATAGGAGTAAGAGACAAGATAGCCATACAGAGTGCATTGCCTAATGTGTCTGAACAAAAGGAACAAAGCAAATGGCAGAAATACCACAATACAACTGGTTGTGATTTGAGATCTCAAAATAGCAACGAAGTTGCCATGGCTTCTGATATCAAAGCTGAGAGTTTTTTAGGAATGTCATTAGCATACAGAAGAGAGAATCAGAGTAATGTCATCTATAAAAGCCCTCTGGACTCTGAGCATCTGGAGACAATAAAAAGCATGCTTTGTAAACAGCAGCAAAACTTTATCAGTCAAGATTCTGTTTCAGAAAGAAAGAAACTTTTCCTGCACTTAAATCAACACTTTTCCACTGAGGAAGTTCTAAGTGAGTTAGGTCACCTGAATTTCCCCAATATAACCAGCGATAGCAAGGTATGTAATTGTTCCCAATGTTAGGAAATGCTGTTAAATATTGTCCACCATGTGTAAATGCAGATTAGTTTTGTATGTGCCTAATGTTTTCTCTTAAAGATTTTTTTAACAAGGTTTTCAAGAATACTGTGTTAACAGGTTTCAAAATATTTAAATTTGATAATCTCACAATCATAGCTTATAAAATGAAGATATGTACGGTTTTTACTCATTCGTGAAATCATGACTCCTTTTGCTGCAAACTGCTAAAACTAGGAATCTAATTAACTATAACCTCTTAATTAGACTAAACTGGGGCCCTGTAGTTGCAAACAGCACAACAAGCTGGCATCTTCAGTCATTGTTTTAAGTCTTTAAGGTGATTTTTATGAAACTCAACAAAGTCAGGTTCCAAAATTATACATTACAGTATATATTCTGAAGACAGGATATTTTTCCACATTATTTAAGATTACAATTTAGCACTCAAATATATGTATGATATATTTGTTCATAAGACCCAGGTAAGATATTTGTTCATAAAAACTAGAAGAATAGTTATAGTCTTAATAAATCTGTATTCAGTGGTCTTAAATATACAGTAAGTAATTTATATGCATATGAGATTAGAAAAAAGGAAATAGGAATGTGCTTATTTTGTTTTATAGGACACTTCTGAGCTGTATTTCCCTGGGGCAGATATGGTAAAGAACACTAATGTACCTAAAAGACAACAATGCATCCCAGTTGAATTTCAGTCTCCAGCACATTATAAGAAAGTTTTTACTACTGCATTGATAGGTATGGTCCAACTTTTCATTTTAGTACAGGTACTCAAAATTAATAAATGATTCTAAAAATGCATTGCAGTCAAGATTTTTTTTTATAATTTTTATTCATAATACAATTAAAACAACAATGGACAAACATGACATTCCAGAGTGAATTTTCCTATCAGTTCCTATCATAGTACAAAAATTTAATACATTGTTCTTAACCTCTATATAAGCCTCATCTTTTATACAATACAAGAGCCGAGGTGGCGCAGCAGTTAGAGTGCAGTACTGCCGGCCACTTTAGCTGACTGTGTTCAGCAGGTCAGCGGTTCAAATCTCACCGGCTCAAGGTTGACTCAGCCTTCCATCCTTCCGGGGTAGGTAAAATGAGGACCCAGATTGTTGGGGGCAATGTAAATATATATATACATTGCTTACTGGTGTACACCGCTTAGAGAGTGCTTGCACTTAAAGCGGTATATAAGTCTCATAAATAAATAAATAAATAAATTATATGTACAGTTATGTATATCTTTTAATTCTACCATTAACTTGAAGTCCGAGCAGTTCTTAATTCATACCAGCGGTAAAATTTGCCCCAGATTTCGAAGTATTCGTGTTCCGCTTTGTCTTTCATAATCATTGTAAGCCTGTCCATCTCAGCACATATTAGAATTTTATGCAGGATCTCTTCTTCCGTTGGGGTTCCCTTGTTCCTCCAATTTTGAGCAAAAACCAGCCTGGAAGCCGTTAAAATGTGTAGCATTAAATAAAGTAAGCAGTCAAGATTTTTGATTAGACTTCTCAAGAAGTCAAATTTTACAGGATCAATAGGATTTCTAGCCATTTGACTTTCTGCCTTATATAAGATTATTATAGTTATTATCCTTTGCAAAAGAAAAATTACATACTAATTCTCTCCTTGGCTCTTACTTTCAAAGTCTATTAGTACCTTTCATTTCCTTTCATTGGCATCGTAGGTCAATGAAGGAAAACTAGCAGTTGTATATGGTAGCCCATATTTAACACTAAAATACTTGACAGAGTTATTGATTATTTCCCCAAGATTTACCTCATCTTTTTTTCTGAATGACAGTGAAATTAAGAAATCCTTAGTTTTAAAGTTTTTCATTTAATTTTTCCCTTACCTAGAGACATTATTAAACTGGAAAAGTTGGCTAGGTGACTCAAGCAATTTAATATTACGTGATATGAAATGAGCTATATTAAAATGCATGTTTTTTCCATTTTCTAATTGTAAAACATCTCATATTCCCTATTTGCATTTAAAGAACATTTAAACATATTATTATTTGATCTATCAAAAAACCTACATAAAGCTCTTGGGAAGGTGGATATATCTTTCTATACATCAGTGAAAGAAGGGCAACAAGAGAAATCTGCGCCTCTCTGCAGCCACAAAATAGCAACAAAGCTTGTTATGGTTAGAAAAGAAGGTCGAAATAAGGTATGTTGTTAAAGGCTGGTTAAAATATGTTATCGGATTTTTTTTAACCATGGTTTACTAGGATAGATATTAATGCCGCAAGGATATGAATTGCATAGATGTACACATTTTTTTGAAATTGCAAATTTGGCTTGTATTTGGGGAATAAAATAATTATATACTTTATCAGAATATTTATAGTAGCTGAAAAATATGGAAATTAGTAACCATGACAAAATATTTTGCGTATTTTAACAGCAAGCTGCTGAAACAGCTCAGTTCTGTGCATACTGAGGGAAAGGGGAATGGCTTTCCTTTCAACAGAATGTATTTCTGAAATTGAATAGCCAGAGATATGATTCCTATCTAAGTGTAATAATGACTGTTGAGAAGTTTTGTCCCTGTGCAATTTTTTCAGTGAATATCATTTTTTAACCTGCATTTGCTAGTACCAGTATGAAGGGAAGGGAGTCACTAAACAAATTTAGTAGCGGGAAAAATAAGTTTGTTTTAATAAATACCATATATTGGCTCAATAATCTGATATTATACAGGTAATCATCGACATACGACCACAATTGAGCCCAATATTTCTGTTGTTAAGTGAGACATTTTTAAGTGAGTTTTACCCAATTTTATGACTTTTCTTGTCACAATTGTTAAGTGAATCACTGCAGTTCTTAAGTTAGTAACATAGTTATGAAGTGAATCTGGCTTTCCCATTGACTTTGCTTGTCAAAAAGTCATAAAAGTTGATCACATGACCCTGAGACACACAGTTGATCACAGCAACCCTCATAAATATGAACCGGTTGCCAAGCATCTGAATTTTGATCACATGATCATGAGGATGCTGCAAAAGTTGTAACTGTGAAAAATGGTCACAAGTCACTTTTTTCAGTGCTGTCGTAACTTTGAATAGTCACTAAATGAACTGTTGTAAGTCAAGGATTATCTTCACTTAGTTACAACTTTGTACTGCAGCCAAAAAGCCATATAACTCAAAACCAGGTTAATTGAATCAGCATCTTTTGAGAGATTTGTTATACTATCCCAAAAGTCACTTGACCAATAAAGTTAAGCTTTTTTTGTTCCCTTCCCCCCACCTTCTCTCTCTTGAAAACTAGTCAAGTTGTGTATTCGATGGATTAATATGGCTTGTATTTTGTTTCAGGGACGTCTTTTCTATGCTTGTGATGCTGCTAAGGCAGATCGATGTGATTTTTTTAAGTGGGTTGAAGATGTAAAACCTATACAGATGGAGAGTGAACCTTGTATTAAACTTCATGATATAAAGAGTATTGGAACTTATCTCAGATGTCAAAGAATTTCTATCTATGAAGAATGCCAATTTTTAATAAGGTATGTTGAAATGTTAGATACACTTGAATAGTAGTTTATAACTGAAAAGAAATGATGCTAGTAAATAATGAAGATAGTGTCTACATTACTTAAGTTTCCTTTAGGAAGAGTTAATAAAAAGTATTTAAAATAAAAAATAGTAATGATCCCAATATTATAAATTAATTTCAAACAGACTAAGCAGTTCTTTGGTCATGTTATCTCCCCCCTGCCAGATTTAACATTTTCAATCAATATTTGTTACTGATATTAATATTGCTACTAATGAAGAGTTTATTCATTATTTTGAGTAATATTAAAGTTTGTCTCCAGTTTTATTTTTTTCATTTCATGAGAAATTATTTTTAGCATTTGGTTCTAAAAGCAATATATAAATTACAGGATTCTTATATTTCATTTTTGCAGAAAAATGTTTGATACTCAAAGAAAACAATTTAGTAAGATGAAGAAATGTAATATTGCAAAGGCTAGCTTTAACTGTGATTCTAAGAGCAAATTATTTCTTAAACTGAACCGGAAGGAGCATTCATCTACATATAGCAAAGGTTGGTAACTTTGAAAATCTCTGAGACAAACGAAAATGTATGTTATATTTTGTTATATTACATTATGTTACGACATAATTTTACATTACATTTATTTGTTAACTGACTCAATCTAATGACTGATAGCTTATTATAACTAAAAATATACAAATAATAATGCAATAAATAATTTGCAATATAACAAGAATATACGTATGAAGAAACGCTCATGCTAGAGTCAGCAGGCTGGGCACTTGTATTCTGGGCTAATTGGAGCTTCCTGGTTGTCTCCAAAGACAGTTCCATAGAGAGCATATTACAACAGTATACCATATCTGTGGTGATTGGGTTGTGAGTTATTGTTGCCAAGGCATCTTGGACTAGATAGGGCTACATTGTATCAGTGAAAGTTGGGCAAAGGCCCATCCAGGCTTCTACTTGCTATTTGGCAGAAGCCCTAAGTCCAGAAGGAATCCTATGTCACACATTTCTTTGGGGCCACATATCACATAGATGACTCTGGCATTCCTTCATCTCCTGTTCTACATACACATGACTGCTGGGCCAGGTCATCTATTGCAATAAAATAATTATTGTAAAAGATATAATAGATCATCAATAATTGATGATTGATTGATTTGAATTGATTCCTGTAGCTGTCCACAAAGCATCTAATTCAGTTCTGCTGATACCAAGCTATGTATCTTGACCCCCTAACTGATCAAATGATATTGTTGAGGTTTTGTCCCAGTGCCTGATTCTGTTGGGGTCTGGATGGGGAAGAATAGGATTAAGCCAGACACTAGCAATGGGTCCATGAACTCTCTGACTCTCAGGATTTTCTCATTTTAGTTCTGGATGGATTGCGCTTCTATAAACCGAACTGGTATATAGTTTGGAATTTTTCCTAGACTTGTAGCTCAAAAAGCAGATGACAGCTGTGGCCAGGAAAGTTTTTGCATGGATGCACCTTTCCCAGATTAGGAGACCCTTCTTACAGTCAATCACCTCGTGTATGGACTATTTAATGTGTTCTCTATGGGGCTACTTTTGAAGATCACTTGGAAGCTCTAGCTCAGACATGTCAAACTTGCAATGTCACATGACGTTGCGCAACTGATTGGGACGGTTTTGCCATTGCCAGCAATGGAGTGGGTGCGGCTTCCGGATGATGCGTCCGGCCTGTGGGCCAGCAGTTTGACACCCCTGCTCTAGCTGGTTCAGTGTACAGCATGAATAGTGTTGGACACATCTTTCCAAATTGTTTAAAATCCTCAAAAGGTAGTCTTAGAAATGTAAATTATAGGTATGCAAATAAATATTCTTATATTTTATTTAATTTTTAGTTTATATAGTAAAACAGTTATAACTTTTTTTGTTCATAAACAATTAAATGATGTATATGATAAAATTTAAAATACCTCTCAGAATAGTTTTTCAAATAGTGCCCTTAAGAATATGAAATTATTTAATATGAAAATAGATATTTACTCAATGCATTCCTGATTAAGAAAAATCTCTGTGTTTTTGTTTTTTCAGCAAGAAGACATAGGAAATAAAAAAGGGAAAAAACTTTTTTTTTCAAAGTTGCAATTGTAGCTTTATTTAATTGCAAAATTGATTGCTTGGTGTAACTTATGCAAATGTATGTACTATGTTGACAGATGATCTTTGGGTTGTTTCCAAGACTTTGACCTTTGAACCCTTGGACACTTTCATTGCATATAGTGTTTTCTTTGGACCATCCTCTAATAATGAAGTGGAGTTGGAACCTCTCAATGGTTATAGCCCATCAAATTGGTGCTCAAATAGTAAGTTTCTGCTCAAGGTTTTTTTTCCTGTAAGGTTTTAGAACAGATTATTCAAAATATGACTGTTTAATGTGCCATAAAACGGAATTCCAACAGCTTTTACTGGAAAAATTATCACTGAATCAGATCAGCTCTTAAAGGACAGTGGGAAACCCAGTTCAGGGCATCTGATAAGTAAGAAAATCTAAATAGTCAAAATATTTTACTTATCCACAGGATATTTTCCTGCAACTGAAATATGTTTGCTTGAAACTTATCTTAATTCATGGTCAGTTTGAGAAAGTTAAATATTTGCACAACTTTAATTAAATCCAAGATATAATATGTACACTTTGAAAGAATTAGTGGGAAAGCAGAGCTAGACTACAGGGAATGTATTGAACTGAAACACAACTACCTGCTCTTCTTATAGAAAAATGTATGTGGGATGTGAAGAGATGGGGGGGAAATCCAAATATATCCTTGTTAAACAGAAAAAAATTAGATAATCATAATAATTTTAAAAAACCTCTTCAGTTCCAGGGAACACAGGAATGGGAATTTTTTAGAGACATGTAATTTCTGAAAAATGTTGCTTTGAGACCAAGGAAATACAATACTCCCTAACCTAACTAATCCACAAGTCTTGATACAAATTAGAATGTATCTCCCCATGCCTATTATTTTACCTTAAAAATTATTGTTACAATTGATATTGGCTTGTATAGTGTCTTGTCTTTTTGGACTTAAGATTCAAATGGGTTTTTTTTAGTCAAGTTCATCTCTAAATATCTATTTCTTATTATATTTTCTTTCTTAGTGATTGTTCATGCCTTGTTTGTGTGTAATGCTAGCACTGAACTTACAAATTTGAGAAATATACAGGAAAATGTCAGTTTGATCACTTTGCCAATCATGCAGCATCTACTTACAAAGTAAGTAGTGATACTGTCTTTTAAAACTGGAAACAGATTTGTACATTCATTGATACAAATACATTTGAATTACTTGACTGGAAATATATTTTCATTCTAGTGCTAAGTTCTAAATAGGTTAAATTTTCTCTTTTTTAATATTTTAGGGGTTTCAAAGAATTCTTTCCAAAAACCAAAGAAAGGAAACAAAAGTTTAAACCACCAGCACTAAATACAAATGCAATAAAATCTGAAATGTTCAGCCCAGAAATAGTTATAAATCTTGCTGATAAAATTATTCAAGCTTTTCAGCTAAATAAAGATCAGGCCACAGCAATGATGCAGATTGGTGCCATGATGACATCTCAAGAAATTAACACAGAAACAGGGAAGCATCCGACTTTTCCAATAACAATAATACATGGTAAATTATTTTACAAGAGCTTCATTTTTTGGCTTCTCCAGTCCTATATTCAGTCCATATTTTAATGAACTATCTTCAATTTTGTATTCCTTCTCTAAACATTTTTTTCAGGATTTTAATTTAGATTTTTTTTTACTACTATAAACCATTTTTATTCAAACTTTTGAACTATGTGAAATACTAGATTTATATTCCATATTGAGCTTCCCATGTACCCCACCAAATCTACTCTGGAAGGTTAGGATTTTGCCATGACCATATTTGGGATATGTAGAAGTGTGCAATGAGGAGGAAAGTAGGAATTACTTAGGTTTACTTAGGAGGTTTTATACTGAATAGGTTTTTTGTGCAAACTACTTTAATATCCACTGACATGCAGGTTAAATGGAAAGGTAAATTCTACATATACCAAATTAGGAGAGAATATTATCTGATTCTTCTCACTATTCTAGCATAAATTCCAGGCTTAATTACAGCCATAAGTCAAAGACTATCTATATTGCAATCATAGCATTAGTAGTGGGCTTTCTACTCTAATTCCAATATTACATTTCAGCTGATTCGATGCAATCACTGTATGCACAGCTAAGAATGTTTGGTTGATGTTTTCTCATGATGAATGTCTGATTTTTTTAACCTCCTTACTGCTCAGCCCAATTTCAAAGAAAATACCTGTTCAAAAGAACAATACACAATATGTTTATTCTAATGTACTTAATTTATTAAACTCAACATGTAGGTGTATTTGGATCTGGAAAAAGCTTATTGCTGGCTATTGTTATTTTATTCCTGGTACAAATATTTGAAATCAATGAAGCAGTTAATGGCAAACAGTCAGTGCCATGGAAAGTATTGGTTTCTTCTTCCACCAACATTGCTGTAGACAGAATACTGTTGAGGTAAGTAATTTAGAAATCATTTATGCTCAAATTGTTTCCATAAAAGATGTTACAATAATACTGTATGTGCATATAATTAATCTTGATGTATTCTTTATTTTTGAAAACTAATCAAATGCAGCTTTTTGTTATTTTTTTGGGTAGAAACCCTAAAATGCTATTTTGGTGAACTCTAAAAGCACTTCCTAATCATACTTTCACACTCGTAAATACTAGTTTAATCTAAGATTAGAAAACATTTTAAAAGCTTATAGCTGATAAGGATCAATTTAGAAAACTGAAAAATGAAAAGAATGTTACTGGAGTTTCTTTGGAAACTTGCAATTCTATGAAGACCTATTGAAATTTGAACCAAACTCTGCCTCAAGACCATTTTTTCTGAGTCTCCTCTCCTAACTATTTAACCCTGCCACAGAGTGTCAAAATGATTAATGTAGCAAGTTTCTATCCAAATTCCTCCAATTCATAGTCCTTTTGCAGACTAAAAGGAGCATTAATATCCCTTTGTCCCTGAAGCATTCAGTGAAAAGACTCACTACTCAAATGGAGAAAAACTGTTTAGATATGTCCCTTCGCTCTCTTGACACATTTGGTGTAGTGGTTAAGGCATCAGGCTAGAAACTGGGAGACCATGAGTCCTGCCTCAGGCACAAAGCCAGCTGGGAGACCTTGGCAGGTCATTCTCTCTCAGGAAGGAAGCAATAGTAAACTACTTCCAAAATCTTGCCAAGAAAACAGCAGGGACTAGTTCAGGTAATTGCCAGTAATTAACACTTCAGATTTGCACATGAATATTTCAATTTGTAAAGTGATGCAATTTAATGACCATGACAAAATATAAATGAAAGAATCAAAATTTCTTTTAAGATATTTAAAGTAATGAATTATTGTTTATTTCAGCCTACTAGACATTGGATTTGAAGACTTCATTAGAGTGGGAAGCATTAAAAAAATTGCAAAGCCAATACTTCCTTACAGGTAACTTGCTTAAAATCTTTAACCAGGTCCAAGAGTCACATCTGAATCTACTAGAACAGGGATTCTCAACCTCCGGTCTGTGGACAAGCACTGGACCGCGGTATAGCAAAAACAAAGCTGCGCAAACAAGCAAAGCCCCATCCACAGGATGCAGGCAGTATATGAAACCACACCCCTCCGGTCCGTGGAAAAACCTCCACGGAACCGGTCCCTGGTGCCCAAAAGGTTGGGAGCCACTGTACTAGAAGCCTTTGATCAAGCTGGAGTTTATGTAGAGGTACAAGTATAGACTAGTATTTTCACAAGAGAACCATATAAACAGCTGTCACAGTTGTTTTCAAACTACAGGAAGCTAGGTGGAAATTCAAAATAATTTTTAGCAACTTATACAATTAGAATAATTATTTTATTGATTTCATCATAAAAATCTTTTTCTAGATTCATTTACCATTACTCCCTATCCTCCAAAGGCAGCACGGGATAAGTGAGCACTGGGCATTCTGACAGTACCTTTTATTAAAGGATGTAAGCCATTTTAAGTATTAGAAAGTATGGGACATTAATTATAGAATAAGTACTTGAAATGGATTCTTAATGAGGTTGAGGTGTTGAGTACTTCTATATCATTGTATTGCATTTTATTTTTTCAGATCTTTTAAAGTCATATGAATTTTTTATGGTTTTATTGTTAACTGCATTCTGCTGTTCAATCATTTTAAAATTATTTTTTAAAATTGTTTTGATTTCTATAAGCTACTCTGGAAGAAACTGGTGTAAAATGTTCATTTTAAAACAAATATATGAGTTGCTTAGAATCGTGTTTGAGATAAATAAATAAATCTAATAAGTAAAACAATTCTTGCTGGCTACCATCTGCGCAAAATGTTTGAATGCACTCATATATAAACAAGTAAGTTCTAATGTAGGTTACTGCTTATAATTTATTATTTGGATGTAAATATAATTTTTTACACAAGGCTCATTCAGACAGATAATCCCTTCTTTATTCCATAAACAATATGCTAATGCTACCTTTTGGTAACTGGGATCTTTTCTTAGATTTCAGCTTCTACCTAAAGTAGAAGCAGCAGTCTTTTGTGCAGAGGCATCTTTTCATAAATAAACTGTTCCATTCAGTATTATTCCCTACAATTATGCAATATGTTAAAGCTTGCATGCTGGCTCAGGATCTGAAAATGAACAGCTGAAAGAATTACTTGCCTTGATGAAGGAGGATTTAAGCCCAGTGGAAAAAATGTATGTGAAGAAGACTATTGAACAACATAAACTGGGCACCAATAAAGCTTCCCTGAGAAAGGTAATGATGACGTGTATTTGCATGTGCCAATAGGTAGCATATTTTTATGTTTAGATGCTCTGGTTAAGTAATAGAATGTGGCATACAAAAATAATTTAAAAAATCAATAGCAAAGTCATCTAGCCTAAAGCCAATGGAGCAGTAAGAATACAATTAAATTTTATTTAAAAAGACAGGTTGGAACTGTAAATACCTGAGTGAAAAAGCATATATTCAGTTATTAAGAAAGTGAGGGAGCTGTTAGCATTTCCTTTTTGGACTCCTGCCCCAGTTGTGCATTGATAGTGAAATGGAATATAATTATGGAAAAATCCTTCATTAGTAAATTTGTGGCGTAAACATCATTAGCAAACACTATAGACTCAGTAGATCCAACTCAATGGTACTACAAATAAATAATATGGAGAGGTATTATGATGAACTTCTTTGGGAATTATGAAAATTACAGGCAAAAAATAGAATTATTTGAATATAATATGTTTTGTTATATTTTATTATATACATTATAATCTTTTATTATTTTATTATGACAAGCCAATTTTCTTTCTGCCAGTATTAATAAGAAGCTGCTCTGGAAGTTAAATACATATAATGTTGTCTTATTTCAATTATATTGTTAAGTAAAATAATGTTCATTTCTAGTAAACAGTTTTTCTTAACGCATATACTTCTTGATTTAAGGCCACAATTCGCCTTGCTAAGCTATCTGGTTGTTAAGTGAGTCATGCCCAATTTTTACAACTTTTTTGTCACAGTCATTAAGCGAGTCACATAGTGAATAAGCAAATCTGGCTGCCCCATTGATTTTGCTTGTTGGCAGGTGACTAGGGGGGTTCCAAATGGGGATCACATAACACCGGGATACTGCAGCCATCATAAATACATGCTAGTTGTCAAACACACAAAACATGCTCACATGACCGCAGGGATACTGTGATGGTCATAAATGCAAATTCTAATAAACCACTTTTTTTCAACACTGTCATAACTTCAAATAGTAACTAAACGAATGGTTGGAAGTCGAGGACGATCTGTGCTGAATTTGGAAACTGCATTTAGTGTTCTTTTTTTTAATGTGAAGCAAATTACTGTAAAAGTGAATGTTTAAGAAATACAGTAGCTTTTCAGGTTAACAGACTAATGAGGCAAAGGCAGGGTTAGGCAACCTGGGCTCTTTTATGACTCGTGGACTTCAACTCCCAGAATTCCTGAGTCAGCACAGCTGACTCAGGAATTCTGGGAGTTGAAGTCCACGAGTCATAAAAGAGCCCAGGTTGCCTACCCCTGGGCAAGGGTGCCCAATAAAACTGAATGTCTTTTAATTCAGAGTTCCCCAATCTTTCTGGTTTTCAGACTGACGGGGGGGAGAGGGGATGGTTCTGCATGAGCAGAGGCAAGCGTGCACATGCTCACCTGCTGCTCACACAAGTGGGGATACACGCATGCTCGCCCACCACTTCCACGGCCTGGTTCCAAATGGCTCAAGGCCCGGTAGTGGGCAACAGTCCGGGAGTTGGGAATCCCTGTTTTAACCTATGAGTTGGATGTTGGGGAGGGGGCTCCTCAGATATTCTTTTTATAGTCAAAGATAGCTCAGTGTTATAGCCTCTGATTTACACATGAACATGTCAGTTTGCAAAGTCATACAGTATAACGACTATGATAATTTAAAAATAAAGGAATCAACATTTATTTAAATATATTTCAAATACATTTGCAATGAGTTTGTCAAATGACAAATTCTTTGTGCAGTTACTATTGCCTGAAATCTGAACAAACTCATATCCAGCAGAATGACTGAACTACTGCCCCTTAAGTTGAGCATTTATTATATCTATGAAAGAGACTGGGCTATAAAGTAATCAGTTGTCAAGACACTCACCTGACACATCCACACCTGAAAAGCCCTTATAAATAGAAGAGCACTGACATCGATATCCCCTAAAGTAAACGCTGCTGAAGATGTTACCCAGTCTGATAACAAAATGTCTGGAAACCAACCCACAAGCTCAGAGAACAAACCTTCACCCTTGTAATCAATTGTTTTTATTGAAATCAGTTAGCAAACATGGCATCACATGAATAAACTGAAATGAACTGACTTGTATTTTTAATCTTTGCATGTTTTATTATTTTTTTAAAGCAAACTTCAGGCATAGGGTAATACAACCAGCATCATGGAGTCATATTTGCTCATTATAAATTTGATTTTTTTTATTGCTAGTACCATTTCTGAGTATAAATCCATTCAAATACCAAATAAAGAAATTGAATTTTGATTGTTCAGTTTGTGGTTCCTTATTTATATGGGTATACAGATTGCTTTATTTTTCCTCTGTTGATACAGGTGAGGGTAGTGGGATCTACTTGTGCTGCCTGCTCATTTCCATGCATGAAAAGTCTTAAGTTTCCTATAGTGATTCTAGATGAGTGTAGTCAAATGACAGAACCATCCTCTCTGTTCCCTATTGCAAGGTATGGCATCATTTTACTTTGTTATTAGACTCCTTGACTTTTAGTCAGTCATTTAACGATCATTCAAACTTACAACAGACTTCCCCAGGACGACATATAATCCAGATTCAACATTTCAATGGACAGCCCCCCCATAGTCACATGATCATATTTTGGGCACTCAGCAACCACTCTGAATTTAGGGCTGTTTGCAGTATCCCATGGTCACATGACCACAATGTACAATTGTTCTTCAGGAACCTAGCAAAATCCAAACAATGGATTTCACTTAAGAACCATCACATTCACTTAATGACCTCCATATTTGCTTAATGACCATGGTGATTCACTTAATGACTGTAGAAAAGGTCTCAAAATTGGATACGGTCCCATGATGATAACAATCACCATGATTTAGGGATGTAATTGCAGGCTTAGTTGTGGTCAGAAGTGGAGGACTACCAGTAATTAAATTCAGTGTACTGATTGTTTTAACTTACGATGTATGTAAGTTGCTTTAAGATGTAAGCAAGAAAACATTTTATAACCAACTAATATAATTCTTATTATTGCAACAACTCAATGACCACCTTGTAATTAAATTCTCAAAATGGAGTGTGAAATTGTGATGGTTTAGCTGACAGCAAGAATAGCTGTGTGACGCTGATCTCCATTATTTACAAAGTTTTAAATGCAATATATTATTTAGAAAACTAAAGCTGAAATAGCAAAAGAAATCTTCCAAGTACGGTGAATACAGCCAATATAGGTGGTGAGAAACTCTTATAATTCCAGAATTGAGTCTCAGCAAGATATTATTTATCTTCAAGAAACTAGAAGCATTTTTTTTTTTAACGATTCTTGTTGAATCAGTTTGCTTTTAGCTGCTAGGTCAGGCAAATCCAGAAACATCTAATTAAGGTAGATTAGCCCTTTATGCATCCCAAAGTTCAGTATGTAGTTGTTAAAAATGTAATACAACACAGACCTTTACATTGGGTCAGTTTCAAGAAACAATTTTTTTTCTACAACATAATTTTATCCAACGAATTAAGAGAGATAAATATTGGCCAGGAATTAGACTGAACTTCGTAATGAAAGCCAATTTAAAGAGAGAAATACTATAAACAATACAAAAGTTACAGTATGTATTTGCTTTGCCAGGCTTAATGAGAAGTAATCAATTAGTAATGATTATACATTCTGTTGAAAGATTGGTAATCTATATATAAATAAAAATGTAAATGTTCGTTTGTTCAAAATCTTAAATCTCCGAAAGTTCTTCACCGATTGCTTTGAAATTTTGACACAACGTTGCATTCGAATACGCGCATGTTTTTATATACCTATATTATATAGATATCACACCTGTGACAGGTAAAAACATGCTTTTTTTGAAAAACAGCACCATCTGTTGGACGTAATCTCTATATCTGCACACACAATGGAACAACAAAAATATTGTACACCCACAAGCATTGTGAAATTAAACATATTACAAATGTGCGCTTTCTGTTTTCTTTCTTGAGCCACAGCAACGCGTGACTGGGTACAGCTAGTATTTTAAAATATTTTTATTTGGGCTTCTGTATTAACAGTTTCATACCATGCTCCAAGTTTTCTTGAACTTGGTGATGTGAAAGAAATTTAAAGATAATTGTTTTTAGCACAGAAGTCTGAAGCCTAATACAAATTTAAACTGTATAGCAAATGAACAGACATAAAGCATAGTTTTAGCTCTGTATTATCAGTTACAGTTTACTAGGAAGCTGGTCAGGCAGCTAGAGCTATCTGTCTATTTTGTCTTTAGACTTTTTTTGTCCAACGCTATGGTTTATATGATATATGATTGCCTTTTACTGAAAGAAAGTTTTCCAATTTTTAAATATAATATGTGGTGTCCAAAAATATATTTCCATTTATAGTTTTGAATGTGAAAAGCTGATTCTGGTTGGAGATCCTAAGCAACTGCCACCTACCATTCAAGGGTCTGAAAGTGCACATGACAGTGGATTGGAACAAACTCTCTTTGATCGGCTCTGTTTGATGGTGTGTACTTCTAATATCTAGAGACATATACTTGATTTTTTTAATTTTAAAAATATTTAGAGCCTAGAAAGTGAGTCAAAATCTTATCCAACAAAATGTTGCTTTCTTAATGTTATATGTTCTGTTTTATGAAAATATTTATTACATACTCAGTAGATATTTCAGTATGGAATACATGTGAGTGACAGATCAGATGTCCATCATGAACAGGCATTCATAAGGAAGATTATCTTAAGGACTGGATAACTATCTTTTCTAAAAGTTCTTCCACGAAATTAGTGACACAGTTAAAATAAATGCTCCTATTAGAATGTTTCTAAAAATCACAGAATATATCATATTTTGAAGATTTCTGAATCAGGCAAGATCAATTTCAGTATCTGCGTTGAATAAAAAATGCCAGTGTACCATTTTCACAAATACTTGTGCTTCTTTAATTTTTGAAAATGTTTTTATCAAATAACATTCCTTTTTTAGATCTGTAATGTAAGATATACTGTAGACTTGGCATATTTGGTCACATCTGTAGATAAGATGAAACTATTATGTTTCTTTTCTCAAAGAGTGGGTTTTGCAATTTCTTTATTAAAATAGAAAAAATACAAATACATTCTAAATGTTGCTAATTAATAATCTGATAAGATAGTTGCTTCAAGGAAAATATTCACAAATTATAAATAAAAAGATAGTGTGTAAATATATTTAGAAAAACAACATAAAGATATGTGACCAAATTATCTTGCTTCTTTGTTGAAAAAAAGAACAGTTTAAACATCATAAAGAACAACAATCCACATTTCAAGTTTGCAGGTAGATTTAGCATTCTGAGTGCATAAAACAATTATCTCAGTTCTCCATAGCTATGGATAAAAGGTTTATAGTTCTTTGTATACTGAAACATTTTATAAAGCAGAAGATAAGTATATTTTTCACCAGTATCAGTTATATAGAGTTAGGCTAATAATCTTATTTATTTCATACAAAGTGTGATGATAGCATGACAGCCCCAAAACTATGAATTAATATTTCAGTTTGTGGCAGCAAGGATTTTAGAACGAATTTACATATTTTCTGAAATAATCAGTGTAAAATAAAAGGACTGTTTCTTATGACCACTTCTTGAATTCTTTTCTGTAATGACACAATTCTCTGAAATCTGTCTTTGATCAAATTCCTAAGCATTTTGAATGATTGGATTTACATTTTTTAAAAAAATTACATTACTTGTCCCATAGCACAAAAAGGCTTAAATATTTTCCCAGTGTATATGTTAATAACTATCTTGTCCTATTATCCTTATATTGTTGCACATATTACAACAAAAAGCCTGGCATAAAAAGAAATCTCAATATTGTATTATTATACAATAAGAGATTATATGTCAGGCACAAGGCATAATCTTTTATTGTATTCTTGTACAATAAGAAATTATATGTCATTCTTCAAGTTGCAACACAGAAGATTTATTCAAGCCTGATTTACACAAAACTGGTCAACTAACAGCACTAATTTGTACTAGATAAGGGTCAAAAGAATTCAAGGGAGGGAGCAATGCAAGGACTCTAAAGTGGTGATGTGTTTAACACCACCACCCCCCCAGCGCTGCCTGCTATTTTCTTACATTATATCATTTATAACATTAGTTATTTAACAGTGCTCTCAGTTATTTTTGCTCTCTTTCTTTTTCTGCTTGCTATAATCACAGGGATATGCACCTATATTACTTAGAACACAGTATCGTTGTCACCCTGTTATTGCTGCTATAACCAATGAGCTATTTTATGAAGGAATTATGTTGAATGGAATTTCTGAAACAGATCGAAGTCCTCTCTTGGACTGGCTACCAACACTGTGTTTTTATAATGTTAATGGATCAGAACAAGTAAGTATTGCATTAATTGACGATAATGGTTTAGATTTAAGAACTTATAGTTTTCGTGTTCTTTCGTAAACCAAATTGTTTAGGACAGAAATGATAGAAGAGATATCCATGAAGAAATTGTATCCTAGGCATAACATACCCATGGCTTTTCTTCATTTCATACATTCATGGCTAAAATAGTTAATTCGTACAAATGAACTTCCTTGAGCCTGTACTTCTCTCAGTCTCATTTGATTGAGCATTCCAGTGGCAGCCTTATGATAAATGTAACTTGATAAACAGTCTTAAATTAATAATACTACATTTCATTATTCTACCAAACAAATTAATTATCATATCACTGACTTTTTTCATTATATAACTCAAAATCTGTTTTCTAGATCGAGGCAGACAACAGTTTCTACAATATGGCAGAATCATTTTTCATTGTCAAATTAATACAATCTTTGATTGCCAGCGGAGTAGATGGATCTATGATGGGGGTAATAACTCTCTACAAATCCCAAATGAGCAAGGTATGTTTTAGTTACCAAAACAATTCCAATGCAGTATTATTTTTTTGGGGGGGGGGGATATCATTAATTTGATCTTGTTCAAACAAAGACCCTCATCTTCATTATGCTTTAAACTAATTAGGAATTTCTCAGAGATGATTCTGTTTAAAATACACTATAAATTAAAAATCAAAAGTTTATGGGATGGCTTGCCTCAATTTTGAATATACTGTTTCTCGCATAACCATGAAAAATTTCCATTGATATTGTGTTTTATGAATCCTTTTTTTATTCAACCTGCTCCAATGGTAGATATTTTAAGAACATATATCATTACCCATTATTTTATTTTATTCAATCTTTTACAAAGAGTGTCAGGGACTTCCTCTGTTTCTGTTTACAGATCCGTAACTTGTTTGGTGCTATACACATGGATGCTGCCCAAATAAAGTCTGTCCAGGTGTCTACAGTAGATGCTTTTCAGGGAGCAGAGAAAGAAATAATTGTTTTATCTTGTGTAAGGACGAGACAAGTTGGCTTCATAGATTCAGAAAAGAGAGTGAATGTGGCTCTGACTAGAGGAAAGAGACATTTATTGATCGTAGGAAATCTAAACTGTTTAAGAAAGAACAAATTATGGGGAAGTGTTATTCAGCATTGCACAGGTAAAGTAAGATATTTTAAATTATAAATCACTCACCTATTCATTCATTGTACTTAAGAGTCTGCCTGTTCTTTGAAATGCAGGGGGGGGGAACACTCCAATATTACTTTTACAATAGTAATTTGTTGGCGTAGTCTGATAAGAGAATGGCTGGGCTAAAATCTCCTTCAAGTTTTTTTATCCACCAGAGATTTGACCAAAGCTCTCTCTGCTCAAGGTGACACCTTCACAACAGCAGTCTCCAACCTTTCTGGCTTGATGGACTGGCGGTGGGGAGGGGATGGTTCTGTGCAAGCAGCAGGGGTGCATGCAACTCCATTTGTGCGGTCAGTGGGTACACGTACCCTTTACTTGCACAAATGGAGCTATGCATGTGCACACTCGCCCACCACTTGCACAGCCCGAGGGTTGGGGACCTCTGCTTTACAACTTTAAATTACCTCTCTTTAAAGTTATACTATATCAAGCAGAATTATCATATGGTTCCTTGTACATAAGTCAATGTGTTTAAAGTTTAATTATATATAATATATAAATATACTATTCTGCTATTTATAGGGAGAAAAAATGGATTACAACATGCTAACCAATGTGAGCAGCAACTGAATGATATTGTTAAATCTTATTTCAAGAGAAAGATGGAAGAAGAAGCCATCATGAAAAAGAAAAAATCTAAAAATGAATCACTTTCTCAAAAAACAAATGCATAAATATACTGGATTATATCAATGATTTCATCTTGAAAATCAAAATTAAATTACAGTTTTTGTATTTTTAGGTGCCACCAGTAATACTGTTACATGAATTAAAGGGTTTTTTAAAAAAAAAAGTTTAAATATAATGAATAATTTTATAACAAGTAATTTCTAATGAAAGCTAACTTACTAGGAACTCTACATTTCATGACAACAAACTTTTTCCTCATAAACAGTTGTTTTAATTCTTGAACTGCTCTATAATACCATGGCATTAAATAAACTCGTATTTAAAATATTTCTCATGGATTTTTGAATAAAATACAAATGTATTCATAAATAATGGATTATAGGTTTTGCTATTACAATAGATAATTACTTTCTGCAATCAGTTGTGTAAGATCATTGTGAAGAAAAGCCATACTTGGCTTTTTCTCTCTCTTACAATTATATCATTTAGTATCATTGTGCCAGAAGTGACTCTTTAATCTATCCATTCTAGCTCTCTATTTCAAGCAGGAATTCAAACTAAGCTCTTACAAATAGCTACAGCTAAATTAGAATACATGCAAATGATGGGTATTATATCTACCTAATTCTACAGGTAATTGGTTTCACTGTTAAACCTCATTTTCTTTTAGTAAATATTTTCAGTAATCTGTCTTCTTGTAACCTAAATTCGCTATTTCATGGCTTCACCTTTTATATAATACCCTGTCATATATTCCGGTGCCATCCTATCTCCTCTTCTTTTCTTTTCTGAACACTTAATATAATATGTCCTTTACATTTCTGTACTTCTGACTTAATTTATAGATCTCTGTTCATGTTTATTCCATCTTTCAAGTGTCCTGCCAGAACAACACATGGTATTCAAGGCGTGTGTCTGAGCAACACAGAAGAAGACCCCAATAAAGTGTCACTATTATAAATAAACTATAATTTATTAAGCTCCTATAATTGTTTTGAAACACTAAATATTTTTTAAAAAATTAATAAATATATAACAGCATATATTTTTGAATACCAATATTCACTTTGATCCTGAAATATCCTGCAATATTCACTTTACCAAACCTGCCATCTTTGGGATTTTAGGAGGCAATAAAATTAAAGTGTTATTTTAATAAGCATTCTGAAACTAATATTAGCCTATCTCACGCTCCTAAGAAATCATGATATTATACAACCCCCATGACTTTGTAATAACAATTTTTGATAATAATGGTATATAAAATACAGTTTTATTCATTTTACAAAAACTAGCAGCACAGAAGCTGTAGTTGCATGATCAGTTGAACATATATTCTCATTTTTTGTTTGTTTGAATTATACTTTAGAAACTGAATATCAAAATGTATTGAAGTTAAAAGTCCTATCACATTAAGTACACATTTCAAAGCATCTAATGTATATGTGATAAGATGTAGCAGCTTTGGATAGAAAAGTGATTTTAATTAATAGTTTTGAATAGAAAGAATTTAATCTTCTAAAATAAATTAAATCTCTACTGTTTAGCCAGATATTACTGTTACCATATCACAGTGCTATTCCAGTTATTGTATGGAAAATATTTAGGAATTTAAAATACTGCATTTTGGAAATATAAATTTTGTTTTTTGCAGTTAAGATTCTAGCTAAAATAAAAATTGTCCGTTAGGTGGTGCCAGTGTTCTCTCTGCTTTTCATTTCACAGCATGAAGATAGAAAGCAAGGTCAGCTATTTTTTTCTTTGAAATAATGACAATTTGCATAATCTCACATGAATTAAGATAATTATTCAAATGTGATGCAAAACTCTTACCAATAGACTTTGAAGTTCTCTTCAGCCAAACGAAAATTGCACTCTAAACTTTGAAGGCTATCTACATTTCAAAAGTGAAAGCAAGTTTCACTATCATATTTTGGTTATTTCTTAAAAAGATTTTTTTTTAGCTCAAGCTGTCACTAAACCTATTAATACACAAAGTGTGGAATAAATAGTCAAGAGCTGAATAGCATCTTTTAAATTACTGGTGACACCCCTGTTCCAGCTCCCTAAAATCTCAATCAACAATCCATTAGAACGCAACGGGAGTAAAACTAAATCCTCGTTTAAGTGTATTTATCCGATCTCTTTTCTCTCTTTCAAATGCTAAATCCATTTGAGCATATGCCCCTTCTTTCTCTCGCCTTTCTCTAAAGGCTGGCAGCCTATACTTCTCTTGTAAATATGAAAGATGCTAATCATATGACATATCACGTCTCAGTCGGAGCTTGGAATAAAGCCTTGAGATTTGGGATCATTGCCTCCAGACAACAGCTTCATCAGCCGGAAAGTTGGGGTTTTTTTCTCCTTTCCTTCAACTCTCAATCCCTTCTTTGTCTAAGAAAAAAACGCAGCCAACTCAAGCTACCCTGGCCATATGGTTCACTCTGTATTTTCTTATTTGAATTCTGAATTGTTTCTGTGACTTGCTAAGAGATTTTTTTTCCTCACTGAAAGTGCATATAAAGACATAGTCCTACTATTTTATGTTAGGATGTCTTTCAATGCTACTGCCACATGAACTTCCTATGTTGATTAAAATCAATGCACTCTTCATTGATTTTATTTAAACTACTTCCTACTCCTGAATGAATTCCCTCCTACTGAATTCTAAGTATTCTTGGAAATAGAATCCCTTGACTTCCAACATTTGGAAATTGAATAAATAAATAACAAAATAAAAGTTAATTTTGTACTGTACTTTGAAGCACAGAGTTTATTTTAATAGAGATCTGTCAGATTTCTTTTCCCCCATCTTTTCTACAGATATGTGTTTGTCTATATCTTCTCTTGCTCCCTCCTTCCTCAAGACCCTTTCAACGAATCATTAAATTCTACAGAGGTGGTCAAGCCAGGCCCGCTTTTCATGCATTTGGGAAAAGAAAGGAGTTCTTGAAGTTTAGAAGATAGCCAAGAAAAACTCCTTGAATGACATCAAAAGAATGAGTTTCCATAGCTGTTGAAGCACGAGAGCCATGTAAGCTGCACAAAGGCAGGTTGGGGCAGTGGGACTGTCCCGCTGCTCTATCCCAGCACAATTGGGTCACTGAAATAGGGAATTAATTACCATTGGAGAGTGGGCAACCCATTCACCACTGCCTGAGTTTTATTAAACGCCAATATAAATAACAAAACAACTCTTGTGGCTGCACTATTCCGACACGCCAAAGGAAGGATTAGCTTGGGGATTAACATCTTAAAGTCTATGAGACTTTCTGACTCAAGGCTCAGAGCTGGTAATCGTATTTGTCTCCTGGTTCAGCGATTAGTGCTCCCTTACTCCAACCTTCGCCTGCTACCCAGTATCCCTTTTTGCAGGCTTCTCTTTTTGGGTATCCATTCCATCTCTGCTCACAATCGGCTGTTCTTTTAGCCAGGGACAGTGGGGGGAGAAAAAAACAGAACGAAAGAAAGAAGAATTTCATCTCAACCATGCCATCTTTAAGTTTCTGGGAAAATGCAGGAGAAGAGCTTATAGGCTCCTGAGGCTGGGGTGGAGAGAGTCCATTGCCCTAAAAGAAGGAGGGAGAGGGAGGGAGGGAGGGGAGGAACAGCCTGAAGTTTAAAAATCACTGTTGAAGCCTGCACCTGCCATGCAAATGGGGCAGACAAAACAATCAGAGCACCATCACAAAGAGGGAGAGTTGGAGAGAAAGAATAATTGCAAGCAAGGGATGCCTCCAGGCTACATGGGTATAGGCATCTTCTGATGAGACCTCTAAAGGGCACCCATCTGTCAAACTAAAGGAAGTACAGGGAAATTGTTGTGCCCTTTGGAGCTTTATTTAAACAAGATCAATTTCTTCACCCACTGTTCTTGCACTACTTTCTTCAGAGTTTCTGAGTGCCAAGTCTTAACAATAACAATAAATAATATACCATTACAAACTCAAGTTTACAATTAAAGTGATATCCAAGAAAAGTTATGGTGGTAGGTATTTTATAAAACCTTTATGGATACTTCTTTCTGGCCTATTTGACTAAGCCTGACAGGATGAAGAATGGGGGGAGAGAGACTGATCATTCTGATCATTAAAAATCCTACACTAAGCTTTCATTGCATCAGGTACAATGCCATGTAAGACAGAGTCACTTGATGCAATGAAAACAGCAAAAGCATTATCTGTACACTTCTTACAGTGCATAGTCTACAGTTTTTGTGACAGTAATTCACACACACTTCTGAATCATTTTAGCACCAAGGAAATTAACTTTACATTGCATTTCATTTGAAGAAAGACATTTTTCCTCTACGTATTTTTTTTTTAGGAATTATCACTATGGAGTATGATGTTCTTACAAGTATGTAGTAAGGGGGTGCTCAAGGGATAATGTGAACATCTTAGTTTTCATTGTATAGTACTCCCTCCAATGTCTTGCAGTTATGCTAACTCCCCACATTTCAATCCCATTCAAAGGAAAAACCTAGAGGGAACTGCCATGAGCTCTTTAACGTGGCAGTTCAATTTTCTGCAGGGCAGTTCATGAATCAGAACTTTGTGAAATTGTTGCAACATGTTATCTTCCACTGGAGAAGTTTAACTATTTTAAATTAATTCACACAGTAAATCACAAATCTAAGAAACTACATCATGGTATAACATGACCTGTGAATAATCAACTATGCAGTTTAGGCACCCTAAGTAAAATTTAATTTCTTTGCTTGGCAAATAGGAATTTGTCAGAGATTGCTAGTTGTGACAAACGCCTTGGAGAGCGGAGTAGACTGGAAAGCAGATGCTACACTGAAGACTATAAAGAATAAAGAGTTAATTGTTTATTTTTCCGAATTTAAGGGCTAAGCAAGATTGAGAAATTGAAAAATCACCTCAGGGGAAAAAAAATAAGCTACTACAATATTGTTGCAGTGACTAGTTCATGGATTTACCAAATCTCAAGTCTGACCTGAATGCATCTTTACCTTTGTGGAGATCAGTTAGCTAATTCTGGGTTTACAGTTTTAATGTGCTGGCGGGTTTAGGTGACCCTGAGTTCGTACATCGCATTATTATAAACCAAAATATGATTAGATTGGATGATTACTTAGCACGTGTTGTAAGTACCGTCCCTATTGTTTGCGTCCACGTTTAGTGACCTAGCGCGAGTCGTGGACGGAGTCTCAGGTCGTTCAACAGATGACCGCCTCTTCCTCGCCCGCTGTGTAAATGGGGGGAGAGAGAGAAGACGGGCGCCGTTGCGCCTTCCGACGAGATAAGCCCTCGCTCTGACCCCAGGACTTAACCTGAGCGTCCCACCGCGCAGCAAGCTTTCTCCTCGCCACGTCACGCCACGCCCCTTGGTGGAAACCTGGCGGCGTCCTGCCGGCTGGCGCGTCTTGGGCGGTCGGCTTGAGCCAGCTCAGTCGCCTTCCCTTGGGCCCGGTTCCCTTGCAACTTTCGGCCTCCGAGAGGTCGCCCCAGCGTTCAGGCTTCTTAAGCATCACAAAGGCTTCTCGCCAAGTCCCCCGGCCGATCCTGCCCGCTCCCTGCCCTTTCTCTTAAATTACGGACGTTTTCCTCGTTTCTTGATGCGTGCCTGCTTTGGCCTTTCATTGTTCTCCTAAAGCTGCGCGAAAAGAGCTGCGGTTGAACAGTTTGACCCTTGCTGGACCGATCGGATCCCGGGCCGGACAAGGATCTCCGGCCTTCTGCCCCCACCCAAGCGGTGCCACCCCTTTGCATAACAGTTCAGCCTCATTTCACCGGCACGCACTTAGCGGACCACACAAGTGCTCCCAGTGCCCGACGTCCCGGTTTGTCGTCACTCCCGCTGGGCTTCAAAATGAGAAGGGACGAAAAATAAGATATTTCCCCTCCCTCCATTTTCCTGATCAGAATGGTGGACAAATTAAGTGAGGCGCCTAAACAGTTCCTGGGAATAAGAAAAGTAAAATTAACTGTTGCTTGGTGCCTAAAAATTCAGGTCTATAGGGGTTCCCAAGGAAGGAGGATGTAACTTATAGACATCATTCATTCATAACACTTTTTTGCCGCCCATCTCCTATAAAATGACTCTGGGAGGCTTACAACATAAAAATACTGAAAAACATTAAAATCATCCATTGTAAAAAAAACAGCAG